GATTCTCTCTCTGTGTGTGTGTGTGTGTGTGTGTGTGTGTGTGTGTGTCTTGCCCTCTCTCTGTAACTTTGACTTTCAAATAAATAAATAAATCTATTTTTTTAAATTGCACTAGCTGATCATCTCAGTCATCGTTGGAGGTCACTACAGCTAGTGCTTCCATTTCCATGGCAGCACTCAGGAAGGGTAGAAGATACGGCTCTTTGGGCCAAGTTTGCTTGCTTTTTCCTTCATAGCAGTGAAAGACAAGAACACAGTTACCATGTGCCACACCCTTCAAATACTTTATCTCTCTAGAAATGGGTGATACTGGTATTCAGTGGCACTGGCTCTCCTGGAGGACTTCAGTGTGGGCAAAAAGCACTTAGTAGACGATCTCATTTTTGTCCTCAGAAAAGTGTCCTCAGTGTGAGCTGCGTTTTCAGAGAATCCTGATTTGAAGATTGAGGACAAAAGCTTTTTTTTTTTTTTTTTTAAAGATTCATTTATTTATTTGGAAGGCAGTTACAGAGAGGCAGAAGCAGAGAGAAGACTTTGATCCACTGGTTCATTCCCCAGATGACTGCAACTGCCGGAGCTGTACCTATCCAAAGCCAGGAGCTTTTTCCAGGTCTCCACATGGTATAGTGGCCCAACGACTTGGGGGCTGTCTTCTACTTTCCCAGGCCATAGCAGAGAGCTGGATTCAAAGTGGAGCAGCCAGGACTCGAACTGGTGCCCATATGGGATGCCAGCACTGCAGGTGCTGTACCAGCACTGCAGGTACCCTCTACAGCACTGGCCCCAAGGACAAAGCTTTTTACAAAAGGGTTACATGAAGGCTGGTGAGTGCCAGTTTGCATCCCAGCTGCTCCACTTGCCCATGCAGCCGGCCGCAAATGCTCCTCGGAAAGCCCTGGAAGATGGCTCAAATATCTGGGCCTGTGTAACCCAGCCCACATAGAAGAAAAGGATGGAGTTCCAGGCTCTTGGCTTCAGCCTGGTACAGCCCTACCTATTGCAGCCCTTTGGGGAGTGAACCCACGGATGGAAGATCTTCTCCCTCTCCCTCTCCATTTGTCTTTGCATTTCAAATAAATAAATGAATAAATCTTTTTTAAAAAATGTTTAAATGACTTGACTGTGGTCACACAGGTGGTCAGTAGTGAGATTTTGAATTCTGGGCTGACTCTTCTAAGCTCTTTATCAATATGAGGGCACTTCCCAAAGTACATGGAAAAATAGAATTAAAAACTAAGTTAATTTTGGTGGAAAAAATTTGAACTGATTTCTAATTTTTTTATGATGTACTTTCCATGAACTTACTTTTTTTTTTTTTTTTTTTTTTTTTTTAATTCTAGAGGCATGGAAACAGAGACAGACAGTTGAGGGGAGAGAGAGAGAGAGAGAGAGCGAGAGCGAGTGAGCGAGCGCAACAGAGTTCCTACTCACTGATTCACTCCTCAAATGCCCATGATGGCCAGGGCTGTGGCTGGGGCCAAAGCCAGGAGCCAAGAACTCAACCAAAGTGTTTCACATCGGTGGCAGGGACCCAATTACTTGAGCTATCAATGCTGCATCCTACAGTCTGCATTGGTGCAAAGGAGAGCCAGAGCCAGGAATTGAATCCAGGCACTCCAGTATGAAATATGGACATTTTAATCCCTGTCTTTACCGTTAAGCCAAATGCCTGCCCCTCAAATTTTGTTTGGGGGGTGTGAGGGAGAAAGAGAGAGAGGCAGACAGAAGAGAATGATCCTAATGGTTTACTCTTGATATGCCCACATTGGCTGTGGCTGGGTCTAAGCCAAAGCCAGGAGTCAGGAACTCTCATCACTGCTGCCTCCTAGAGTCCACATTAGCAGGAAGCTGGAGTGAAGAGCTGGAGCTGGGTATTGAACCAGGACACAGGGATCCTAACTGCTAGGCTAAACATCTCCCTCCCATGAGCTTTTAGAAAACCGGATTACTGAGGCTTCTCAGGATTGTTAATTCATAAACATGAGATTAAGGCGAATGAAATTGTTGGTGTTTGACGGTTTATGTCTTCTGCTGTACTGATTTCATATGGCTCAACCTGATAATGTTCACTTCATCTGTCTCCCATCAGTCTCAAGCTAATTCCAAGAAAGAGGCAATACTGCTAAACAAGTGGATTGTTCCAAGGCTGTATGGTGTTGAATTGACAGATGTGTTAATCACTTTACTAATGAACTTAAAAACAAGGGTGGTTACCTACTGGGTAATTGTGAAAAATAGGTGTTAATTTTATTTTCCAGCATTTGTTTCTGGTATGAAATGAATATTAATGGTTTAATTGATTGTTAAATAGTAATGTTTTTGAGTGGGACTTCAGTTTCATGGTATTGAAACAATGTGGTTATAAATTATAATTGAGTAAAGGGTCATACACTGTGGTCACATCTTTCAGGGGAAGTTTCTTATTGATATTAGCCCTAATTTAACATCTAATTCTAAAATGCACATGTTGTTTCTGTATGTTAGTGGTTGGAAGGAATTAAAAGTAAATTCAATAGATTTTTTTTTTCTCACTGTGATGATTTTTTAATTGGTTAACCATCTTAATTCCATGTTTCACTGAAGAATCTTTAGTCTATGAAAACATTAGCCCTTAGCCTATTTAGATCATCAAGGAAGGAGGGGAAGTCCTTGAACCTAACCTCTGTCACAGTGCAAGGTGAAGTGCGTTTTTGGCCTCATAGATGTGCGGATTTTTCCTTGCCCAAGTGTTTGCCCCTAAAAACACAAAGAAGATGCCCTTCATCCCTTCATCAAGCTGTTTCAACTGATCCCTGTGCCTTTCACTTGGAGACATGAGCAGAGTTTCCTGAACAGTGTGATGGATCCTTTGCTCTGGGAAAACGTCAACACTTGAGTACAAGGCTCCACCTGGGATCCTTCCCACTGAAGCGTGATGTGCTTGTATCTATTGCTTTTATAAAACTTAAGTTTCCCCTGCTGCCACACACAGACTGTTACACCACTCTTGAAGAAAGTGGGGGTGTGTGTTAAATCAGATGATGATTCAAAAGAATGTTTTAAAGAAATGTCAAACCCTCTTCTGTAGAAGAAATCTTTTTTTTTTTTCATTTTTTATTTATTTATTTATTTTTGACAGGCAGAGTGGACAGTGAGAGAGAGAGACAGAGAGAAAGGTCTTCCTTTTGCCATTGATTCACCCTCCAATGGCCGCCACGGCCTGATCCAATGGCAGGAGCCAGGTGCTTCTCCTGGTCTCCCATGGGGTGCAGGGCCCAAGCACTTGGGCCATCCTCCACTGCTCTCCCTGGCCACAGCAGAGAGCTGGCCTGGAAGAGGGGCAACCGGGACAGAATCCGGCGCCCCGACCGGGACTAGAACCTGGTGTGCCGGCGCCGCTAGGCGGAGGATTAGCCTAGTGAGCCTCGGCGCCGGCTAGAAGAAATCTTAACTACAAAGATAAGGCAGCTAATTATTTACCACCTGTACACCTTAGGAAGACGAAAATGTTGCAGTCTCCATTTGCCTTTTCTTTATGCTTTTGCAATAAAATGTATGTTATGGAACTGGCACTGAGGTGACCAGTGGAATTGGGTCCTAGGAAAGCAACAGCATAAATAGGATTTATTATTGCTTACAAATTCTGCTTTACTCAGCATAGAATTACAAACATTGTTAATTCTAGGGCTTAACATCATCTTTCTGGCCTTGATCTAAAAGACAAAAAATGTGAATAAATCATTGGCATACTAATGTTGATGTGTATAATTATGTAGTTACTGAATACTATTGATTATAAACTGTGCTTTTTAAACTTTGATTTCTTTCTCAATGTCTTTCCCTCTTTCTATAACTCTGCCTTTGAGATAAATAAAATAATAAAATAAATCATTTTTGAAGAGGGAGAGAACAAAAGGAGAGAGGTTTTCACCCAGTGGTTTACTCCCGAAGTGGCTGCAAGGGCTGTGGCCGGACCAGGTCAAAGCCAGGAGCATGGAACTGCATTCAGCTCTTCCACGTGGGTGATAGCGACCCAAGCACTGGAATCATCTCCTGCTGCCTTCCCAGGCGTATTAGCAAGGGAGCTGGACCTGCAGCTGAGCAGCCAGGACTGGTGCTCATATGGGATGTCAGTGAGTTGTGCCACAATTCTGGCCTCTAAAGCTGCCTTCTTAAGCTTTAAAAATAAGTTAGTTCTTTAGAGCATTGCACTTTTTCCTAATTTTAAAAGGCAAACATTTTCCTTAGTGCTTTAACTTGTTAAGCTTTTTCTACTGCAAATGTAAAATACATGTATTTATTTTGAAGAATGCAAAAACGTGTTTCTGTACCACTCAGAATCATATAGCACACTATAGTGGGACAGGTACCAAACTTGGGAGAAATATGGCTGAAAATGGCCAGAAGAGTAGCCCCAAAGGGATGCCCGTAGCCCCCCAGGGTTCTGTGTTACCAGTGACAAGGGTTTGTCCCCACCCCTCCTGACTCTGAGAGGCAAGTCTGCCACTCAGTTAAAGAGGCGCCACGTGCAGTTCACTGTCCTCCCTTTTCAGTATTGCCCTGGTTCCCTCTTGAAGAGTCCCTGTATTCAGGGATGGTGACCTGAACTTTTTAGCCCTGTAAGGATGCCAGCAGCAATGAATTTTCTATTTTCTGCGAGGCTCACTCTAAATCAGATTCCAGCATTATGCTGGTGCATATATGTAAAGAGCCGGGCAATTGAGATTCAAATGTAATGAGCATGAAGTTTGCCTATTGAGCACGGCTGCCTTTGTTTTGCCCTGGTAGGTTCTTGGCCCCCAGAACAGTGCAGCTTTCCTTTTTGCTTCTGAAATCACCAGATCTAGCTACACAGGAAAAGATACCTTTTCTAACCAACCCAGAAATGAAACACAATCTGTTCTGGTTTCCTAGATTCATTTTTTTTTTAAATGATCTGAGCGATTTGGTTGTGAAGTCTTGGGAAAAAACACCAAAGTATTCTTTTTGAAACATGCAAATGTGTCTCTCCCATCACCTAGGAAACTATTATGGGACACCCAAACCTCCCAGCCAGCCAGTCAGTGGGAAAGTGATCACGACGGATGCCTTGCACAGCCTTCAGTCTGGCTCCAAGCAGTCCACCCCGAAGCGCACCAAGTCCTACAATGATATGCAAAATGCTGGCATAGTCCATGCGGAAAATGAGGAGGAGGATGATGTTCCTGAAATGAACAGCAGCTTCACAGGTAAAGGCCAGGCTGTGTCCTCATTAAAGGGGTGCGGGGAGAGGGGTGGCAGGAGGGGTTTGCAAAGACTTAAAAGAAGGATGCTGTTCTTAAGAGGAATTCAGTGAGGTTGCCAGAATTCTAGCTCTCACCACACGGTGCTCAGGGAAGAGGTGGTCCTTTCCTGGCCTACTTTTTGTACTTGTTCATAGAATTTCGTCGATGCCAACTAAATATCTTTAAGAGGCTGGGAGTTTAATGTGTGAACAGTGTCAGAATCATCGTGGTTTCGTTCTCTCAAACATGATATGGTATACAAGAAAAAAAGTGTGGATTTTGGCCTTGGAACATCTCTGTCATTATGACTGATTGCTGTGAAGCAGTATCTGAGAATTCGTTCCACAGGTTAATGTTCACTGATACTGTCAGGAAGGCCAGGAACATCTCCATGTCTGATCCCTTTATAGAGATATAGTGGGAATGTATCATGTGTTCAGTTAACTCATGCAGATTTTTGTCTATGCTTTAAAAAGGAAATATTAATATTGTGAAATACTAATCTTGTGAGGTTATATGTCACATAGGTATTCTGTATTGTATGGCCTATTGTGTTGATTGTGTTATGTATTTCCATCTACACTTGAGGCTGTCTGCCCCTAAGCTTAGGTGCGCTGTAATTTATGAAGGGATTTTCAAGAACAGAACCATGTGACTCTGTGTGCCAGACAGTCTGGATGTTGGTTGTATGACTCCAGGAGCACCAGGAGGCTAGGATCTGTGTTCCCAGATTAGTGCAGTGACCCTGAGCCATTCAGGAATATTTTTTTCACCATATGCATGTTTGACTTTTGGTAATAGCTCAAATGCAACATCTGCATGAGACATGAGTAACTTCAGTCTTCAATATTGTGACTAAGGAGAGTGTCTTCTTTTTTCCGTTTTTCCTGTATAATATTCATGTATTGTCTTTAATGTTTTATTGTCATGGATGAGTTATTTTCAACATAGGAGAACTTCTCATATCACCATACTTTGACTTGAGAAAAGCTGACCCTGGGAAGGGGCTCAGTATTTCCTCTATGTGTCACCCAGTCTGATAGAATATTCTGGAAAACAATTGTTTCTTGTTGAATGCTATCTATAGGCTTTGTAGATCTTTCTAAAGTCTTGCCATTCATTAAGATGGCAATAAAAAATTTTTGGAATGACTTCGTCATAGCAGCAGCATAGCCCAACATTTTGTGTTTGTTTTTGATATATTTCAGTTGTTTTGTTGGCACATAATAACTGTACACACTAATAGATTACAGGTGACATTTCAGTACATGCATACAAATTGTAATGTTCGAATTAGACTAATAGACATACTCATTACCTCAAACATGTAACTTTTTTTTTTTTTTTGCTTTGAGAACATTCAAAATCTTCCTTACCATTTTCAAATATACAGTTCATTATTGTCAGCCATAGTTACAGTACTGCACTGTTCAGGATTCCAAATCATTTCTCCTGTGTATCTGTACCACTGTACTATGCACTAGCCATCTGCCTTCTCTCTCTTCATTCCTCCCTCTCTCCTATATGCCCTTCCCAGACTCTGAGCCACTGTTCTACTTCTACCTTTATGAGATCACCTTTTCATTTCCATGTACATATAAGTGAGAACATGTGGTGTTTGTCTTTGTGACTTATGTTATTTGCATCAATGTGAGTAGAACTGGAGGGCACTCTGTTAAGTACAGTGGACCAACCCTTTTTCAAGAAGTATTGGGTAAAGAAGGAAGGGGATTGTTTGCTATCCTGGTTTGGCTCTTGACAGTTTTCTTTTTATGAATGTGTTGTTTGACTTCATTCATCTGTAGAATCAGTAGCTAGGATTAGATCATTTCTAAGTTTCCCCTTTTAGCTCTGAGATTTAAATGCATGAAAATTTCCATTTTCTCAATAAGAATGAGTTAGGCTGACATATAGTTGCAGTATCTGGAAGAAAGTTGTCATCTTTTTTTTTTTTTAATTTTCTCTTTGAATAATTTTATTTAATATGTTGCTTTTTCAAGGACATAGGGCGGGTTTTTTTTTTTTGCTATTTTTTGAGATAAAATATATTTAATTTACTTTATATAAAGTCCAATGCTAGTGGCTCTGCTAAATAAAGAATTCAACAAATAATTTGTCATCTTTTATATATACTTTTTTTTGAAATTAGCTAATTCCAGAAATATGGTTCAGCCAGTTACGGTAGTTCTCACTGAAAGAAGAAAAGAGAATATGAAAAAGTGTTACCTTTCCTTTAAAAATATATGATATTTTAATGTCTTAATATTTCAACAATAAGAATAGCAAATCCTGACATAATAGACCAAGACACAGAACCCTTGGGAGATAAAACTTTACTTGTACTTCATGAGTGTAGAGTTGCATTGATAGCCCAAACACATAGTTAAGTAACTGTTAAGTATACAAAGAACACCTTTTGTGAAAGTGTTGTGTTCGTTATGGACAGCATGGAAACTGTGCAATAAACTAGTACAGCTGAGTCGCCTATTAATCACCTCCAAGAGACATCAAAATGTTGTTTGTGTTTCTCCCTCCTCCAAAGACCACTGTTGAACACTAGAGTGTTGGCAAGCACTTCCTTTTTATTGATGAACAATGGAAAAAACATTGCTTTGGCATGTCAAGAAATAATATTTACTGTGGGATCTATTTCTCAAGGGTTGACCACATAATGACAGATACTTTTCCAAGGTTTTTATTCACAAACCAGGTAGTTCAAATAGTTTTTCCAGTATAATAAAGCTAGTGAGTATCAGAGCTGCTTTTCCAACTTAGAAAGCCAGTCTCTAGAACCTAGGTGCACATTCGCTGTTATTTGTGTTGTAAATCAATTCATCAGCTCCATGGTGCTCCAAAGATTTTGAATGGTTGTTCATTGAGAGATATACATAAATGTAAAACAGTGTATAATTTTATTGTTTCTTATAGGTTTATTTATTTATTGGAAAGAGTTACAGAGAAAGAGGGAGAGAAAGAGATATTTCATGTGCTGTTTTTTGGTTTTGTTTTTGTTTTTGTTTTTGACAGAGTTAGAGAGAGAGAGATAGATACAGAGAGAAAGGTCTTCCTTCCTTTGGTTCATTCCCCAAATGGCCACCACAGCTGGTGCTGCGCCGATCGGAAGCCAGGAACCAGTGCTTCCTCCTGGTCTCCTATGCGGGTACAGGGCCCAAGCACTTGGGCCATCCTCCACTGCCTTCCCGGGCCACAGCAGAGAGCTGGACTGGAAGAGGAGCAACTGGGACTGGAACCTGGCACCCATAAGGGATGCCGGCTCCTCAATGCGGAGTATTAACCAAGTGAGCCAAGGCGCCGGCCCCATCTGCTGGTTTATTCCCCAAATGGCCACAATGGCTGAGGATGGGCCAGGCCAAAGCCAGGAGCCAGGAACTTCTTCTAGGTGTCTTACATGGATGCAGCGGCCCAAGCACTTGGGCTGTCTTCCACTGTCTTCCCAGGTGCATTAGCAGGAAGTTGGATCGGAAGTGGAGCAGCCAGGATTTGGACTTGAACTGGCACCCATATGGGATGTCAGCATTGCAAGCTATGATTTTACGTACTACAACACAATACCAGCCCCCAAGAATGTATCTTTTTTTTTTTTTTTTTAAGATTGATTTTATTTATTTGAAAGACAGCGTTACAAAGAGAGGTAGAGACAGAGAGGTCTTCCATCCACTGGTTCACTCCCCAAATGGCTACGGTAGCTGGAGCTGAGCCAATCCAAAGCCAAGAGCCTGGAGCTTCTGGGTCTTCTGCATGGGTGCAGGGGCCCAAGTACTTGGGCCTTCTTCTACTGCTTTCCCAGGCACATTATCAGGGAGCTGGATTGGAAGTAGAGCAGCCGGGACTCGAACCAGTGCCCATATGGGATGTTGGCTGGGACTTTAACTTGCTGCACCACAGCGCTGGCCCCAAGAATGTATCATTTTAAAACATGTATTTATTTGAGAAGTAGAGCGAAAGAGAAAGAGAGAACACTTCCGTTGCTTGTTTACTCTAAATGCAAGTTGATCCTAGGCTGAAGACAGGAACCAGGAATCTAATTCAGGTCTCCCTTTCTGGATGGCAGAAAGCCATATTTACACCAGCCATCACCTGAGGCCTCCCAGGGTCTTTATTAGCAGATAGCTGGAGTCAGGAGCTAGAGTGTAGTTTCAAACCCAGGCAATCCAATGTGGGACCTGGCTGTCTTAAGCACTAGGCTGAATACTTGCCTCAAACATTTATATATATAAATTTTTTTTTGATAGGCAGAGCTAGACAGTGAGAGAGACAGAAAGGTCTTCTTTCCATTGGTTCACCCCCCAAATGGCTGCTACGGCTGGCATGCTGCACCAATCCGATGCCAGGAACCAGGAGCTTCTTCTGGGTCTCCCATGCAGGTGCAGGGCCCAAGCACTTGTGCCATCCTCCACTGCACTCCCGGGCCACAGCAGAGAGCTGGACTGGAAGGAGCAGCTGGGACAGAATCTGGTGCCCCAACCAGGACTAGAACCTGGTGTGCCGGTGCTGCAGGCGGAGGATTAGCCTAGTGAGCCACGGCACCGGCCTCAAGCATTTATATTTTTAAAAGAAGCTTTAGAGGGGCCGGCGCCGTGGCTCACTAGGCTAATCCTCCGCCCAGCGGCACCGGCACACCGGGTTCTAGTCCCGGTTGGGGCGCCGGATTCTGTCCCGGTTGCCCCTCTTCCAGGCCAGCTCTCTGCTGTGGCCAGGGAGTGCAGTGGAGGATGGCCCAGGTGCTTGGGCCCTGCACCCCATGGGAGACCAGGAAAAGCACCTGGCTCCTGGCTCCTGCCAGTGCTCCGACCGCAGCGCGCCGGCCGTGGCGGCCATTGGAGGGTGAACCAACGGCAAAGGAAGACCTTTCTCTCTGTCTCTCTCTCTCTCTCACTGTCCACTCTGCCTGTCAAAAAAAAAAAAAAAAAAGCTTTAGAGAAGTTTTTCTTATGTGACTTTATGTACTTGGAGTCACTTCCAAAAGTTCTTGAGTGTATGTGTGTTTGTGTGTGTGTGTGCATGTGCTGGTGTGTAAGTGTGTATAAATGCTTGAAAGCTTCTGATTGACATAAATAAAAATGCCATTCATTTTCTGTTATGGTTTACAAACAGTTTTCACAAGTGTCCAGAAAACGTCCTGGAAATACGAGAGTTATTACCTTCTCAGGTATTACCTTCCCAGTTCTGTGGAAGAGAATTCTGAGGAAGAGTGTGTATTCACCACTGAACCATAGGAGAAGAGACTCCCTGTCTGCCCATTCACTCTCCTTGCAATATTCCAAAGTCCTCTTTGGATTCATTGGCAATCTTGAGTAAGAATGTGGCAGTAGAGCTCCTAAATGTTTGGTAGGTTAAATGAAAGATTTTTTTTTTTTAAATCACAGTGTACATCAAAGTCCAAGCCCTGATTGAGCCTGTGGATTCCTGAGTCTGCCCTATGTCTGCCCTTCCTGTACTTTCCATTTTACTCCAGAAGATGTGGTGGTATACGTTCTTTTTAACTGGAAATAAGACACAGAAAGCACACAAAATAAACATGAATATTGGATAGTCTAAAGTCCTTTTGTTGGAATTATATGTTTTTTTTTTTTTTCTCTAGGAATTGTAACATTCTGTTATTCCTCTCCTGTGGCTGAGATTTGGAGACACTGGGAGTACTTTTTTTTTTTTTAAACATGAATTTTTTTTAACCCATTGTTCATCTGAGTCCCTCTGATTTCCTTTGTGGTGTGTTCCACTCATTTCCACTACTCTCTCTAGTTTTTATTAAAGGGTTTAATTAGCATTGAATTTATTCATGTCTCCTATTGTGTTGGCAGTTATCCGCCTCTTAAATATTATATTAAAATATCAGTGGATTTCGTTTTTTATTAACCTGTACTCTTGGATACAAGTTACAAAACTGACTCACATTAATTTAAGCATAGATAGGACTTTGGGGGAATCAAGCAGTTGTAGAAGAAGAGAAGCTTTGATTTCAGGCACAGAAATATTGGATAACTTTTCGCATCTTTAACCTCTGCTTTCCTCTGTGTGGACTTCATTCTTGCAAGTCTTGCCAAGATATATCAAGATGGCTTCCACACATACAGCATAAGAATCCATCAGATAAATAACCCCAGCATCAACAGATTGCCTCTTGCTGGAGTAAAATTTTCATGCCTGATACCCGTTGGTTTGCCTTAGATCGTATACCTATTGCTGAACCAACCACAAAGGCAAAAATGATGGAGTACTCCTGACTGGCCAAGAGTGTTACCTGGAGCCAGGAGTTAGTTCCCACCTGGACTACATGGACCTGGAATGTAAGGGGTGCTTTCTACAAGGATGCCTGAGTGCTTCTAGCAGAAGAAGTGGGGATGGTTACAGTGCTGGGAAAATTTCCACGCAGCATCCTTCACGGGTGGTTTCGGTGGAAGTGGTTGCCGAGTAGGCTTGACATGTCCTCCATCCAACTTTTGTGTGCTCCTCATCAGAGAAAGCTTTGCCAACCATGTGTTATTATCCTCCACTCTGCGTTTATGATGTCAGAAATGCCCGCAGGACGATTACTGTGGGAGATATAAAATCATTCTATCCCTTGATCAATGTGTTTTAAAGCCTGCTTGACATTTAATATCATCAGCCTCTATAAAAACTCACCCAAAATGTTAACAACCGTAATGCTGTTTGTGGCTACTTTGATGACATCACCCCTGATGTTTCTAGTTAATGAGAGGGAGAGGAGACTCGTGTACTTAGAGCCTTCCTTAAAGATCCATGTCAAATCAGTCCACCCACATGGCACTGTTATGAGGGTAACTGTCTTGATTTTCACAGGAATGTTCTCGACTTCTCCAAAAAAGGCTCCAGTGTGACTCACTGGTATAGCTGTCTCCATATTCTGAACTCTTTTTTACTTTCCAGCTTACTTTGTCAGTCTTTGATCTTTGCCAGTGTCTACCAAAAATATTTTCAATGAATGACTTACATAAAAATGGATGATAATGCCACCCTGTGTCTTCAGCATGGAATTCTTTATTGCCCCGAGAAGTCTCTTATGTGTCACGAACCCAAACCTACGGAATGAGAGTGCCCATCTGTTTGGTTGGATGACTTTCCAGTTTACAGACTCTTGACTTTGAGTGTTGCCTCGGTTTCACCTTTGCATCTTCAAGGTTGTGAACACTGCTTATCCAGGCACACTTTTCTCTGTGTTCCTTTTAAGTAAAATAGGTTTGTTGATTGTTTTGACGCAGTCTGTTGGAGGAACATCATTCTAAAAAGTCAGAAGTCACAGTGGGTGCCCAGCACTTAGGAAAAGAGCATTTTAAAATTCAGAATATGCAGGTAGTGCACTTCCCAGGTTTGAGACGTGATTGCTAAATATTTTCTTGTTTTCTCTCCCTTTGTTTCTCCCGACCTGGTTCAACAGCCGATTCTGGTGACCAAGACGAGCACACTCTCCAGGAAACAACATTACCACCTGTGAATAGTAGCATCATCTCTGCTCCCATCACGGACCCTTCTCAGAAGTTCCCTCAATACCTACCTCTTTCTGCAGAGGATAATTTAGGTCCTCTACCTGAAAACTGGGAGATGGCCTATACCGAAAATGGAGAAGTCTATTTTATAGAGTAAAGTATACCATTATTCCTACCTGACTCGCTCCTTCTCTTCCTTTTCCCTTCCTTCCTTCCTTCTCTCCAACAGTCAGGGATGTAAATTAAAAACCGGGGGATTGCTCACCCAATCATGGTCTTTCATAATGTTTAACAAGCTTTGCATGAAAAAAATGTAATTAGCCATCTCATCCTAGTTATTGAGTCTGAAGACTTTGAGAAAGCAGGAGGTGAGTAACTTCCTTGTAAGGTTACACAACTATTTATGATACATATCAGTTGGACTAACACTGAAGGTTTTATTTAGCCATTAAAAATAATAAACACTTTTTAAAAAATAATTCACATACAGCCTTCTTACCATTGACTTTTAAGACTTCTTCATATGAATACTTCAAAAAGTTCATGGAAAATGAAAGTAAAAGATAAGCTTACTCGGTACAAAAAATAAATATAATTTATTATAGTATGTGTTTTCCATGAGTTTTTTTGAACACTTTATTTATTGTTATAGGTATGATTCCTTTGTCATATTTGTGATTGGCAAGCGCTTTCTCCAAGTCTGGGTTGTCCATTTTATATATATATATATATGTGTGTGTGTGTGTGTAATATATGTAATTTATATATGTGTGTGTGTGTGTATGTATATATATATATATATATATAAATAATTTGTTTTTTGAGAGAGAGAGAGACCTCCCATCTGCTGGTTCACTGCTCAAATGCTCAGAACCGGGAACTCAGGTCTCCTATATAGGGGGCAGGAACCCAATTAGTTGAGCCATCACCTCTGCCTCTCAGAGTGTACGTTGTCAGGAAGCTGTAATCAGGAGGCAGAGCTGGGAAGCGAACCCATGTGCTGTGATGTGGGATACAGACATCTAGCCTCTAGGTCACACACTCACCCTTCATTGTTCTAACAGTCTTTCCAAGACCAAATGTTCTTGATTTTCATGAGGTCTAATTTGTCAGCTGTTTTTTGTGGATTATGCTTTTGCTATAGTAGCTATGGAATCTTTGCCTACCTCAAAGCCATTAAAGACTTTTATTATATTTCTTTTAGGAGTTTCGTAGTTTCACATTTTACATTTAGGTCCATGATCCCTTTTAAGTTAATTTTTTTTACATAATACAAGGTGTATGGATCAGTATTTGAGAATATATATATGGATGCTAAAGTCTTTCAAAATGATAAAACTTAAATCCTGTGTAAACATTTGATAATTAACTTTTTCTAAAAAGCTAAAAAATTTTGCAGTTGAAGTGATTCTGAAAAATGTATGATGAATGATTTTTATAACCAATAAGAATTTTTTAAATCAATTACTTTGATTCTATTGTTATTAAGATTCATCTTTTTATATACTACTTAAAATGAAAAAATAGTGGTCAAACTCTCAGGAGAATGAAAGCATAAATGAGTATTCATATGTACATATAGATTGAAACTGAACTACTGTTTGGGCCAGCGCTGTGGCACAGCTGGTTAAGCCACCACCAGCAGTGCCAGCATCTCATATGGGCACTGATTTAAGCCTCAACTGCTCCGATTCCAACCCAGCTCCCTGTTAATGCCCCTGAGAAACAGCAGAGGATGGCCCAGCTCTGGCCACTGTCACCATTTAGAGAGTGAGTAGATAGAAGATCCATTTGTCTCTCCTCTTACTGACTGTACCTCTGCCTTTCAAGTAAATAAAAATGCTTCTAAAAGAAACCAAACTACTCTTAAATGGCCAGTAAGAAAGGAGAGCATTGCAGAGGAATATAGGAAGATCTCACTTTGATAAAGTATATGCTTTCATACCCACATACCGCATATTCGGTATGTGTGCATTTGTTTCTGTGAGTATGTAGACAGAATTTCCAGAATTTATGAACAATGTGCATTACGAAAAACTGCATGGATATCAACAACTTCCTTGCATCACAGTAAACATCTTTTAAGTCCATTTCTCCATGAACTCTGTGATGTATCCTTCTATATTTCTTTATGTAGAAAACATCTACAAGTATCTATAAACAGTTGGGTTTGAGTTAAGTAAAAGGAGTTTATTTTCTAATCACATTATACATTTCTGTAGGGTTTTAACTTTTTTTTATCTTTAATATGTGTTTTGTAATTAGAGAAAACAATGAAGTTAAACTCAATTTTCCTAAACACATGAGAAAGAGGGAGAACACTTAGGTTCACAAAGCCTGTGTTTTTAGTCCTATCTAGGAAGAAGTCTTAGACAACTGAATTAGAGCCCCTGCGTTGTTGGCCAACCAGAGGGAGGAAATAATCCATGGTTTCTTCGTATTCCTGGAAAATGCTTATTAAAGAAAGGGATAGAAGTTCTGCTCCTAATTCCAGTTTCCTGGTAGTCTGTACCCCAGGAGGCAGCAGGTGAAAGCTTAAGTAGTTGAGTCCCTGCTTCCCGCAAGGGAGGCCTGGATTCAGTACCTCCCTCTCGGCTGTAGTCTGGCCCATTCCCTACCATTATAGGCATTTGGGAAGTGAAGCAGTGCATGGGAGAGTTTCTCTCTGTGTCTATTTCTCTGCTCCCTGTGCCTCTCAAAAAACAAACAAACAAACAAAAAACAGAAGGACTGGAAGATGTCATCTTTTCCTGGGAATTAGGGAAGTATAGTGGTTAAGAACTCACCCCAAAACTCATGCTGTCCACCTCTTTCTAGTTGGTGACCTTGGGAACTTGTGGGGACCTCTTTGCATCTCAATTTTCCATGAGTGGAAAAGGAAGACATGAATGTTAAGAGTCGTACTTACCTTGTCAGTCTGTTCTGAGAATGACAGGAGACAGTGAGCATAAAGTACTTAAGTGCTTAGACCAGTTCTAATCAGTGGCCGCTGTTGTCGTTATTACCATTTTTGTCACCATCTTCTGGTTATTACAGAGGAGTACAGTCATTGTTAAAAAAAAAAAAAAAAACAGGATGTCAGCTGTAAGATCAGGATTTTGTACTTAGCTTTTGCAATAAATTGCCTTTAAAATTATTTCCATTAGTGAGGAAGAACAGTGCTGAGAAAAGGAAAGTATAACTGAGGCATTCTTAGTAATAGAATACAATGTGAAACTCAAATTACTGGAAGAGAAGGCACTAGTAATTTTGCTTAAGAGTGGCTTAATATGTTTTAAAAAAGAAAGTTGGACATGTTCACAGTTAATAAGATGGTGGCCCCAAACTGGCTGCCTTGCATAAAAGCACAATGTTCTACCTACTTCTCATGATTTCCTTTAGCTTTTAGCTGATGTGAAGCTGTTGTTTCATTGAATTAATATTTAATAGAAAATTATATAAAAATGGAGTTTGACAATTGTGAGACTTTTGTCTATAGCTGTCAAAATCCACAGATATTGATTAGTTACATACTATTTATATCTTTAACTTAAATAACCTCGTTACTGAGTTGTATGTTTCATTCTCATAAACTGCCGCTTAGATGATTTTGTTTATTTAAGATTTATTTTATTTACTTGAAAAGTAGAGTTACAGAGAGATTAGGAGACAAAGAGTGACCTTCCATATACTGATTCACTCCCCAAATGACCATCATGGCCAGGGCTGGAGCAGGCTGAAACCAGGAACCAGGACCTTCTTCCAGGCCTCCCACATGGCTGCAGGGGCCCAAACACTGGGGCCATCTTCTGTTGCTTTCCTAAGCACATTAGCAGGGAGCTGGATCAGAAGTGGAACAGCTGAGTCTTAAACTGGTTCCCATATGGGATGCTGGCATCACAGGTAGTGGCTTAACCCACTAGGGCACAGCCCCAGCCCCAGATGATTTCACATTGAATAGCAAGTTAAATTTCATTACAATTGAATCTGCTTTGTTTTATGCATGTGTATATATATTTGAGCATGTATTAGTTTTGTGGTTTGTGGGAAACCTAAGAGATTTTGGAAAGTAAAAAGCACATGTAAATATCAAGCATGAATTTAGAAACTCTGGATATTGTGTGGAAAATGAACATAAGACTCTGAAAGGAGAAGCAAATAAGGCAGACCGGCTAAGGAGCTTAGGATCAACGAACAACAGACAGGGAGTTGCTTGACCTTTCTTTCCTGGTGGGGTGGGGGGAGGAAGAGAGAGAGAGATCACTCCCTAAATGGCCACAATGGCCAGGATTGGACCAGGTTGAAGCCAGGAGCCAGGAACTGCATCCTCATCTCCCAGATGAGTGGAAGGGGTCCAAGGCCATCCTCTGCTGTTTTCCCAGGAAAGAGGCCTCCTTCACAGCAGTGTTATTTCAACAGTGGCTGTAGTGCAGCCAACCCACAGAATAATCTGCATTTGCAACCTCACCTGCACCAGCCAAGGTCAGGTGGGGAACCACAACAACATGCTACAGGGTGTGACAAGCAGCCCAGCCCTCCCTGGCTGCTGTTTCCACAAAGGCTCAGCATCCAGCTGGCCCTGTGATTGCAAGGGGGCAGTAAGAGTAGACTGCAGAGCCCACGTGCTGGGGGTGTGGACCTCCACGCCCACCTGGCATCAAAGACACACCCTCTGCTAACTCCCCACTGGCGTGGTGTCAGGATGTTTAGAGAGAAAAGAATCTGAACAGATGCTGGTACCTGTAAGTGGTCAGATGAGTAGTCCTGGTGGCAGTGGTTGTTACTGTTTTTCAATTTTTAAAAAAGATTTATTTATTTTTCACTTGAGAGTCAGAGTTACACAGAGAGAGGAGAGGCAGAGAGAGAGGTCTTCCATCCGATGGTTCACTACCCAATTGGCTGCAATGGCCAGAACTGCGCCAATCCGAAGCCAGGAACCAGGAGCTTCCTCTGGGTCTCCCATGTGAGTGCAGGGCCCAAGGACTCTCTCCATCTTCGACTGCCCTCCCAGGCCATAGCAGAGAGCTGGATGGGAAGAGGAGTAGCCGGGATTAGAACCGTTGCCCACATGGGATGCTGGCGCTTCAGGCCAGGGCGTTAACCCGCTGCACCACAGCGCCAGCCCCATTTCACTTTCTTCATTGTGTTTTTCCTTTTGTTACAGTTTTTAAAACAATTTATTTATTTGAGAGGCAGAGTTACAGAGAGAGGAAGAGAGAGAGACAGCAAGCTTCCAACTCCTGGTGTACTCCCTAAATGGCAATAGCATGTGCCAGGCTGAAGTCCAGAACCTGGAACTCCATCCAGGTCTCCCATGTGGGTGGCAAGGGTCATTTTGCACTGCCTTCCCAGACGCATTAGCAGGGGGCTGGATCAAAAGTGGAGCAGCCAGGACTCCAGTGCTCATTTGAGCTGTTGGCATCACAGGTGGTGGTTTAACGTCCTGTGCCAAAACACCAGCCCCTCTATTAGCACAACTGAATTGACATGTTTTTCACTTAAGACAGGATTTTATTTTTAACAATTAATATGATTTTAGTCCAAAGTAACAAATAATGCCACTTCCTTCTAACCCCATATTTATAACCTAAACTAAGAGGAAAAAGTTAAGTAACTGACTAAATTTCAAAAAAATTTTGGATCCGGCACAGTGGTGTAGTGGGCTAAGCCTCCGCCTGCAGCACCGGTATTCTATGTGGCTGCTGGTTCTAGTCCAGGTTGTACCTCTTCTAGTCCAGCTCTCTGCTGTGGCCTGGGAAAGCAGTAGAAGGAGGCCCACGTCCTTTTTGCCTCACACTCTCGTGGGAAGACTTGGAAGAATCTCCTAGCTCCTGGCTTTGGATGAGCCCAGCTTTGGCCCTTGTGGCTATTTGGGGAATGAACCAGTGGAAGGAAGACCTCTCTGTCTCTGTCTATAACTCTGCCTCTTAAATAAATAAAAAATGGTTTTTTTTCTTCATTGATTTTTATTTCTGGTTTGTAGCCAGAATGAGTAGACTTGGAGTTCCTTGCCCCACTCGCTTTGCTGCATGGGGTGGATGTGGAGGCCCTGGCAGAACTTTGTCCCCATGGTCTTAGTCTGCTGTGGAGGCAGAAAAGCTGTGTCTATGTAGCCGTCCTCATGATTTTCCCAACATGGTGGAAAAGCAGTGTCCTTGTGGACATTTTTGCACACTTTGATTTTCAAGGCTTGGCTCACTGTTTGTACAAACACTTCATCCAGAGTCAGGCTGTACCCTCTGGAAGGCAGTTGGGGCACATGCTTAGTTGCTTGGCCCTGGTCTGTTTATGATAGGTAATTTGGAGTTGCCCTCAGTATGTCCCAAGCATAATTCAGGACATTATGATTAATGGTGTGTTTTAGTCACTTTGAGCCACTTGAGAGAGTTGAGGGAGTCTCACACTGTCATTAGAATTCTTATATGTCGGTCGGCACCGTGGCTCACTAGGCTAATCCTCCGCCTTGCGGCGCCGGCACACCAGGTTCTAGTCCCGGTCGGGGCACTGGATTCTGTCTCGGTTGCCCCTCTTCCAGGCCAGCTCTCTGCTGTGGCCCGGGAGTGCAATGGAGGATGGCCCAAGTGCTTGGGCCCTGCACCCCATGGGAGACCAGGAGAAGCACCTGGCTCCTGCCTTCGGATCAGCGTGGTGCGCCGGCTGCAGTGCGCTGGCTGCGGCGGCCTTTGGAGGGTGAACCAACGGCAAAGGAAGACCTTTCTCTCTGTCTCTCTCTCTCACTGTCTAACTCTGCCTGTCAAAAAAAAAAAAAAAAAAAAAAAAAAAAAAAAAAGAATTCTTATATATCATGGGGATAATGAGTAAAGTAGCAGCCTTCCATGTGAATTCCAGGACTTAAGATTTAAGTCATAGACAAATTTAAAATGATGTTTTCTCTTTGACGAATGTGAAGATTAGAAAATAAGTCTAGACAAGGGCAGACAGGATAGGCAAGGAGTATCATTTGTAACTCATTTTTCGTAAATAAAACTGGTATTTCATTTCCAGCTTTCAGTTAAGGGGCAATTAATTATACCTTAAGAAGGTAAGAAGCCTGCTCAAGACCTTCCCCAAGCCAGTGTGTTATTCCAAACTCAGGCTCTCCTCTGGTTTGAGTTTGATGTTGGAAAGTATCTTTATTTTGGTTGGGGAGCAGGTATTTCAAAATTTCTTCTGTCACTGGGCTTTTGGCTATTTTGGTTTTAAACAACTTTCTTGTTTTTGTTCCTTCTTTGCAGCCATAATACAAAAACAACATCTTGGTTAGACCCTCGGTGCCTGAATAAGCAGCAGAAGCCCCTGGAAGAGTGTGAAGATGATGGTAAGGACAGGGAAGGTCTTGGGTTCAGTGAGGTGGGGGCGTGTTCCCAGGTGCAGGTTCTGAAGGGTGCTAAGAAGGGCAGTGGAGTTGTAACAGTTTTGGAAAGGTAATCCAGTTTCCAGTAAGTGTGCTGTGGTTTACCAAAGTGGAGGAAGTCAGAATTGCTGCAGAAGAACCATTTGTTCACATCTAGAAGCAGGTGCACAGCAACAACTCCATCAGAAACAGAACTTCAGCACAGTCTGAAACCATTCAGATGCAGGCATGTCTTCCCACTCGAGAGACCAGGAGCCTCTAGAAAATTCTAGAAACATAGAAACCAAAGATGTGCATATGTCCACTCACACTGGACCTTCACTCTACGTTTTGAAGATCATTGGGGATGGCCAGCACTGTGGCTCACTAGGCTAATCCTCCGCCTGCAGCGCCGGCACACCAGGTTCTAGTCCCACTTGAGGCGCTGGATTCTTTCCCAGCTGCCCCTCTTCCAGCCCAGCTCTCTGCTGTGGCCCGGGAAGGCAGTGGAGGATGGCCCAAGTCCTTGGGCCCTGCACCCACCTGGGAGACCAGGAGGAAGCACCTGGCTCCTGGCTTGGGATCGATACAGCACGCCGGCCGTAGCAGCCATTTGGGGGGTGAACCAATGGAAGGAAGACCTTTCTCTCTGTCTCTCTCTCACTGTCTAACTCTGCCTGTCAGGAGAAAAAAAAAAAAAAGGAAAAAAATCAAGATGCCCTTTTGAATTCTATGTATTTTATGACTCTATTAATTTCCCCATCTTGAGTGTAAATAATGCAGATACTGCATTTAATTTAGGAATCACTGTACAACTTAGAACATACCTAGAGTATCTGAAAAGTGTATGCTACCAAGAAAGAGACAAAGGTATTAGCCAGAGCCCTCCCTCCTGGTTAATCTCGGAAACACACTAAAAATAAGAATTTTTTAAAAAGATTTATTTATTTATTTGAAAGTCAGAGTTACATGGAGAGAGAGGTCTTCCATCTGATGGTTCACTCCCCCATTGGCTGCAGTGGCCGGAGATGCGCCGATCCGAAGCCAGGAGCCAGAAGCCTACTCCAGGTCTCCCATGCGGGTGCAGGGGCCCAAGGTCTCAGGCCATCTTCCACTGCTTTCCCAGGTCATAGTAGGGAGCTGATCAGAACAGGAGCAGCTGGGTCTCGAACCGGTGACCATATGGGATGCTGGCACTTCAGGCCAGGGCCTTAACCCGCTGTGCCACAGCGCCAGCCCCAAAATAAGAATTTTTGTTAAAAAAGCTTACTTCAGAGCTTTGAGTTTGTAATTCCTACTGTTTTATTTCCAGTTTACAGATGTTTATCCTAAGTTCTATGAAAATTATTTTTTGACATGGACATACAGCTTACTTTGCATCTCATTATTCACTTGATACTTGAACTAGTACAATTATTGAATAAAAATTCAAGTAAGATAACATAATTTTATTAGTTTGTCCCTTAGTGCAGAGGTATTGTGTATATACATTTAAGGTTTGTTTTTGAATGTATTTTATTTTTTTTAAATTTTTTAAAAATTTATTTGACAGAGTTAGAGACAGAGAGAGAGAGAGAGGGAGAGAGAGAGAGAAAGGTCTTCCTTCTGTTGGTTCACTCCCCAAATGGCCTCCACAGCCGGTGCTGCGCCTTTCCGAAGCCAGGAGCCAGGTGCTTCCTCCTGGTCTCCCATGTGGGTGCAGGGCCCAAGCGCTCGAGCCATCCTCCACTGCCCTCCCGGGCCACAGCAGAGAGCTGGAGTGGAAGAGGAGCAACCGGGACTAGAACCCGGTGCCCATATGGGATGCCAGCGCCCAAGGTGGAGGATTAACCAAGTGAGCCACGGTGCCGGACCCCTGAATGGATTTTAAAGTATAACCCTGTTGAAATCTTGTCCTGAAAGATCTCTTTGTTTCATGAGAGTACTTCCAAAAATTCATGGGAAAATAGCATTAAAATATAGGTTTATTTTGGTGCAAAAATGTTTTGGAATCCGTGCTTAGGTTTTCTCATAAAAATTTCATGAAAGATACATGTTGTGATAAAACTATGTGTGAATTTCAAAGCAGTTGTGCACCAAAATGAATCCGTCTTTTAATTCTGTTTTTAACACATTTTTTTAAAGTGCATTTATACAGAGTTCGCAGATGACATTGAATTGTGTGCAGTTGTGTGCTCATATTTAACTGAGTGACTTCGAGTGTAAATACAAGTCCTCTGACTTAGGAGGCATGACTGCCATGCTCATTCTATTTTGGTGGCTTGCTCCATTTCCTGTGGAAAGAGTGGGACAGGTTTGGTCAGCTCTTATTAGTATTTTGCCTGCTCAGAGAATAATGAACTGTCTTGTTTATTCAAATGTTCTGTTTAATATATAACACTTAGGTGACCAATTTTCAAAGATCAGAACATAAAACACATTGAACCATAAAACTTCACAGAACAAAATTTAATCTTTATTTGATGCCTGATGATTTTGAAAGCAATTTAGACACTCTTATTACAGTATCTTCAATGTCAATACCCGTTCTAATTATACTGGGACTGTATAAAAATGCCTGTTAATATAATTTCCTTGATGTTAGAAGACTGCAGTAGCTTTTACTGAGAAACCACTATTGGTGGAATAGAAGTATTGAGTAGAGTTAATAACTGTTTTTGTTACTGAATCTTGTCATTTTTAATTCTTGGAATTCTTATCATTTGTGCTAATGTTATTTCCTTTGTGGTGTGTCTTCATACCAAATGCAGTTAGTTTAGTTAATTATCCCCTCAACATTAGCATTCGTGTATTCTGTTTCTAGTTGAAATTATATGTGTGTCTGTGTGCCTGTACACACCAACAGTGTAAATATATAAACAAATCATGGCAAGTATCAGTGTGCATTTTCTGTTGCTTGTTGACACACAGCTACTTTGTGTTATTGATTATATAATTACACAAAGCAGAAAAATGGGATTGGTTATAAATATTGTTCTTGTCCCTATAGGTCATATGCACATGGACTATAAGTGTAGTGTCATACTTAATTATAAAGATTTTATATTTGTTAATTTCTGTTTCAAAAATAAATGAAAAGCTAGTTGGGGATTTTTGATCTTCAGTGTGTAACATGTTATTACTGTTTGTCTTGTTTAACAAGAAGTCTTCCACCTAGCCTTTGAGCCCCAGACCAATACTTTAATCTACCTGGTTGATAGTACCAACTGGTTGTATCCAGAGACTTCAAACTGAGTCTGGTTAGGGCTGAACTAATGGTCTTTGTCCCCAAAATCTGGTCCTCTCTAACTGTTCCCTAACTCTATTTAGGATAGATCCATGCATATTTAAAAATTCCCTTGATCTACCTACCACCTTGTTCACACCCATTTCTAAGGCATGAAACCATCTGAATTCTGAGCCCCGAGATGTCACTGAATTCCACTCACTGTGTTTTTCAGCACTCTGCCACCACTCGTGACTCTCTCTATGCTGCATACAGAGCAGTCTTTTAACGTCAGTGGGATGATGTTATTGCTGACCAGCCCCAGGACCAAGCCCTGTTCAGTGCCTCGCTTGTCTGCTCAGTAACTGTCAAATGTATAACTTGCTTGTCAAAGCCCGGTGTGGTTCAGCCTCGCTAACTTCTCTCTCCCTCCTGCTTTCGGCTCTCTGCTCCTCATCCCTGCTCATCCTCGATGAGTTCCCACCCCATGACAGTCGGCTGTGCAGTTCTCGCTTCTTGGGATTCACATGCAATCACACAGAGTCACTGAACCTCTTCCATATTCAAGTGCATTCTCAGACCTTAAGATGTATCAAGGAATGTGACGCACAAAAGCCTTGCTTTTGCAGAGCTTATGTTGTAATCATTTTTTACTCGGGCCTTTTTGTTACATTTTGCAAGTTCTTCAGTTTGCATCCCTGGGATTTTTTTCCCACAATCTTGCCCCCAGATGTGATATAGTCACCTTATTATGAATGTTACTCTAGAGCACTTAGTGTGGTCCTAATTTATTGATATGAGCTCTGGACTCGTCTCCTCTTCCACAAGGTTGGGAATGTGTCTGATTATGCTCATTTTGATATCTGTCACCCAGCACGGTGACTGACACCTTGTAGGTACCAGTTCATTGAAGAAGTAAATGTGTGTTCCCAAAGACATTCCAAGCTAATATACAAGTGGGCATTTTCACAAGGATTTTGTGTAAGAAACAATGTCAGAACTCACTATTGGCATTTGAGTAGGACTGTTTGGGTGACTTTTGATTGTCTCACTCATTCAAGAAATACTGAGTACCTAACATGTTCCTGAAGCTGTACTGGGCACTGAGCACATGGCTGCGGGGAGAAGAGCTGGATCCCTCTTTTCCCTCTCTCTGTGGGCTTGCAGTGGGAGGGACAGCCACCTGCTCTGTAGCCATGGAGACTTTGATGGCAGATGACTTTGGTGTGCTGTCCTGTGTTCTTGGCAGTAATAAAATGTTGTACTCCCAGCTAGAGGAGACCGAGGATGGACAGGTTTTTGACTTGCTTTGCTCACTGAAATTATTGAGAGCATTTTCATTCTAATATTTCGGAGCTGTTTGACATCGAAAACGTGTACACATATAAGCATTAAACAGTGAACTCTGCTCCCTGTGCTCCTTTGGGGCAGCTGTCAAGCCTCCTTTCCTTGATACACATCATCGTGACATCATGCATCTTTCTAGCTCCGTTTTGGAAGACATTGAGCTCATTACACCATCTACATTCTCATGTGGACCTCATGTGCCATTGCTCAGCAGCTGTATTAGTTGTAAGTTAAGTAATGCTTTCATGGTGAGTGTAATTGCCTCCCTGATTAGAGGCTTATTGAAGGATTAAAAGAACTGATATTGAAAGGTCTGTAACAGCTTTGTTTGCTCCAAATAATTTCTGTTACAAGTGACTTCCTACTTAAGAACATCGAAACCGCAAAAAGTGTTTGTCATCTTTTACAACCAATCAAATCCTGTTTTGACATGCAAGGAAATGAGCCATGTAATTATTTTGTCAATATCGGCTCTTCCCCTCTTGTGATTTACACTGAGGCCATGTGAGTTTACTAGCCAAGCCAATGTAATAAGCCACAACACAGGTAAGGACAAATTAAAAGGGGTGTGTGTGCTGCTATTTTTCTGAAGGAAATTTCTTTCTTGGTGCTGGTATCTGAATTTTTCTTTGTCTCTTTTCTGTCTCATTCCTGTTATTCCTTTGGAGAAGAAGGGGTACACACCGAGGAGCTGGACAGTGAACTAGGTAAACCCTCCCTTGCTTGCTACAGCTGCATGACGGGCCCTGCATTGGTTTGTCCGTGGTGAATTGCTTGATTTCTCTGTGTCTTTAGTTTGCACTTCCCCAATGATGATTTTTCTCTCCAGCTGATCCACAAAAGGTCAGTCTCATAACCCATGTGTCTGCCAACAACACAAAGGGGTGTAATGTGTTATGTCCACAAAGAAAAAGTCAGCGAATTGAGTCTAGAACAAGAGCAAAGACTAATGTAAGGATTGCTGCAGGGGTAATTGCAATAAAAGAATTGCAGTGATTAATTGAGCAGTTAATAAGCCTTCAGGTCATACTGTTATTAAGTCACGGACCACATACTCTTGACTTGGTCACTGTGATGGATGGCTCGGCGACCAGATGCATTCTTCCTGTGTGCTGTTTTCCTCAGAATATGTATGACAATGTCAATCCAGTCTTGACTGCTCCAGCGGTTGTAGTTCAGGAATCATTCATATTAATGCATGGTGCCAAACCCTTTTTCCTTTATTATTAGAAAATACTGAATTCTGTTCCCTGCTAAGTTACGTGGTTTATGGTTCAACTTTGAACAGTGTTAACCTTGGTTTGCATTCCATCTAATGCATCCACAGAGGGATACAGAGGAAACCACAGCATTCAACTCTGTTGTAGATAAAGCCCTTGGCTGTTTGTAAATTGACAATAGTGTTTGTTTGGTTTTGTTGTTAAGGATTTATTTTTTATTTGTTTGAAAGGTAGAATTGCATAGATGGAAGGAAAGGAACTGGGGAGGGAAAAAGTGGGGAGAGGAGGGGTGGGAGAGAGAGAGAGATTGAGAATCTTCCATCCACTGGCTCACTTCCCAAATTCCTGCAACAGCCAGGGCTGTGCCATGCCAAAGCCAGGATACTAGAGCTTCCTTTGGATCTCCAACATGGGTATAGGGGCCCAAGCACTTGGGCCATCTTCTGCTGCTTTCTCGGATGCATTAACAGGAAACTAGATCAGAAGTGGAGCAGCTGGGACTCAAACCAGTGCCTATTTGGGATGCTGGCATCTCAGGCGGAAGCTTAACCTGCTATGCCACAATGCCAGCCCCAGTTTTTTTTTTTTTTTTAAGTAGAAAATTAATTAACATCAGTATGAATTGAAATGTCTTAAGCTTATTTAATATACCTAGTCTTTTTACAATTGACTTAGGACCTGAAAATATATACATATTTAATGTAGATTATTGCTTTGATTTGGTTTTGTTTTTCTTACATAATCAGTCATGATTGACTTGAATTATGATATAATAAAATTTAGCTCTTATATAAAAATCTAATTTTTCTTATTGTTTGGAAAGTATCCTCTTGCATGGACATGCAAGAGAGAGTCAATAACTATTGAAGGATTTATTTTTTTTTAATGTTTAGTAAGTTACCCTTGTAGTCATGATGGTAGGATTACCCTGCAGCTCAATCTGTGTGATAAGATAATTGGAACCTAATTTTATTAAAAATGAACTATCAGAGCCAGCCCTGAGTTATACCAGGTAAAGCTGCCACCTGCATTGCCGGCAGCCTATATGGGCACCAGTTCAAGTCCTAGCTGCTCCACTTCCAATCCAGCTCCATGCCAATCCTGGAAAAAGAGTGGAAGATGGTCCAAGTGCTTGGGCCCCTGCACCCACATGGGAGATCTGGAAGAAACTCCCGAATTCTGGCTTCAGATCGACCCAGCACTGGCCATTGCAACCATATGGGGAGTGAACCAGCAGATGGAAGACCTCTCTTTCTCTGTATCTCTCTCTCGCTCGTTTTTTTTTTTTTTTTTTTTTTTTTTTTGACAGGCAGACAGGTAGAGTGGACAGTGAGAGAGAGAGACAGAGAGAAAGGTCTTCCTTCTGTTGTTTCGCCCCCCAGTGGCCGCCTCGGCCAGCACACTGTAGCTGGTGCACCATGCCAATCCGAAGCCAAGAGCCAGGTGCTTCTCCTGGTCTCCCATGCAGGTGCAGGGCCCAAGCACTTGAACCATCCTCCACTGCACTTCCTGGCCACAGCAGAGAGCTGGACTGGAAGAGGAGCAACTGGGACAGAATCGGGCACCCCAACTGGGACTAGAACCCAGTGTGCCAGCGCCTCAGGCGGAGGATTAACCTAGTGAGCCGCGACGCTGGCCACTCTCTTTTTCTGTCTCTGTAACTCTGCCTTTCAAATAAATAAATCTTTTTTTAAAATGAACTTAGCAACCCATTGATATTAAATTGTGTAGATAAAGTTGTGTAAGACCTAACTCAATTTTCCTTATGCAAAACGAGTGTGTTTATTGTTTATTTCCTATTTCTATTCTGTTAGATTTTTCAGTATCTCAACAGTAGTACCTTCTCCCTTCAATAGGAGCAAGGGAGAAATGTGTCATACTATAGACATGGTCCCAGTGTGTGCTGCTAGGAAGAGTAGAGATAGGACCCTTGATTTTTGTCTACACATGTGCACACGTATGCTGTGTTCCATTACATTCATTCCAGATTCCACTGACAAGCCCACTGCCCATTTTCTTAATAAGAGGCTCGTAATTTCACACAATAGCCACTGTCAGGTTTTCTGTGAACAATGCGATTCCAGATGTGACAAGGAAACCCTCTCTCTAATCTGCCTCTGGGAGGCGTGGGTGGTTGGCTTGGGTGTTGGACACAGATCATTTGATTATAGAGTTGTCATTTCTGAACTCTTTTCTGTGAGCTGGGTCAGTAGCTCCATTATGCACTTTGAGTTTGCACAATTTATCACCTGTTCTGCAGATATCTCCCCAGAATTCTAAAGCACCCGCAGGACCTTCATTGGGAACAATAGGGGATTCATGTGATGAAGCCAACCAGGAGCAGTAGACATGAGAAATTGAGTTCCCCTCTCAACCAAAACTAAGTCAGCATTTTGATGTTTATCTCTGATATTCCCATCTGTACACTGACAAATCTCTTTAGAAAAGAGCTCAGAACATTTACTCAATATTTGCTTCTGTGGTGACAAAGTAGGGCAGCATGGGATTTTCAGAAGGGAGAGTAGTAGCAAGCACCAAGGCCCTGGAAATCTGATCTGTCCCTTTTGTCCTTTCTTGGAACAGCTGCCATTTTTTTGGGAGCACTTCCTGTGTTCCAGGCACTGTACTGTGGGTTTTACAAGCTTCTTTGCTTTTAATGCATCGTTGTCTTTTGAGAGAAACCCAAGAGAAAGACTTAGGTCCAAGATAAGTAACAGATAAGACCAGAAGGGTTAGTGCTAAGGCTCAACACCCAATCCGAGCAATGCCAGAAAAGTCGTAGCTCCTCCTGAAGTCTATGTTTTAGATTGTATAGTCTGGTCTACTTCCTGGCAGTGTTTAGGTAGATGCCTCTCTAGGATTCTTCAAAGCATTCATTAAAAAAAAGAATCATAATGTTATCACTTTCGAGGCTTACATATTTTCTGCCATGTTCAATTTTTTTAGAACCAAATGGCAAATTGTAGGACAAACATCTTCCTTTTTAAAATCCATGACCCATTTCTATTTTCAGCTTTAGAAGACTAATTCCTGTGATTAAGTTAATCACCACATTGGAAGTGAGAAATCTATCGTTTCAATGTAAAATGAGTTTTAACTTGAGCAACTGGAAGATGCCTGGAGTTTGTGGTATCTGTTCTGGAGGATGTGTTTACATTGAGGCATGTCCAGTAGTGTCAGTTGACTGGCTCCATTTCTGGACCCCAGAATGTTAAATTGTCGACTAGGTGACAGGTGAAAAGGCAAGAGTAGCTTCTTTTCCTATACCTTCCTTAGAGTTCCATCAAAACACACACAATGTGGTTAGATTTTCTGCTAAGATAGTGCCCTTGTATTTATCTTTGTATCCCTAATAGCTAACACATTCTCAGGCAAACAGTAGGTGCTCAGTAGATGTTTTTCAGATTAATAATGGAGTGAATTGAATGCTTAATGTTTTTCCTGTTTTATCTGAAGACCATGAGGTCAGATATTTCAGATTGTCAGATTGCTGATTTTGCAGAGAGGTCTGGTTTAATTAAATACAGTGCAATCCCCTCCAACTTCACCTACTCTTCTACCCCATACAAATGTGTGACTGTGCACCAATTTGCATTTTTTTAATCTTAGATTTTTCAACTCTTTGGAAATATTTTCCTGATTTATTTTCATTTAAATGGTAATTTCCAGCTTTGTAAGGGGAAACCATTTTTCAGGCATTTGATTTGCATCAGGCCACAGGACTCGGTATATAAAGCATGTCAAGTTGTATCAACATCTGCAAATTGGACGTGTCTTGCATTTTAGTAGCTTATGTCTTCTAGAATTCAAAGACTTTTTTAAAACTTGCTAAGTTTAAAAAAATAAATAAATAAATTAGAAAAGGGGAAAACCTGTCTCTTTGTGTGCAGATAGGTAACATGTGGAGCAAAAATCATGAAATTAACATCTCTTGATGTACAGCCAAATCTTAACAAAACATAAACTTTGAATGATTAGTCTGTGTTGATGTGCACCCGGCTGCCTTCATTTCCATCTGCAACTGTTTATGGCATTTGTAAGCTCTCTATTCTGATGAAAAGGACATTATTTGAAAATAGTGACCACCCAGTTCCTTGAATTGAGAAAAGATGATTTTGAAATAACTGATATTTCAAGTGTTGGTAGTATTCCATTCAAGTTAGTCTTAACCAGCTACTTCTAGGCATACTGATTCATCTTGGAGTAAGCTGTTACACAGGCTAGCTTTGACTACGTATATTGAAACAGTTTTAAAATTGAGTCATTTCATTGCTGCCATGCCTGAAAGGATTGTTTAATGACACAGAACACAAAACAGTTAATTCTTTCACTGAGTGAATTCATCTGAGGCAATGGGCCCTCCCATAGTAACAGTCTTGTTCATGGAATTCACTAATTTGTAGTTGGTAAAGTTATGCTCTTTGATATGAAACCTTATAAAGTCCAGTCCAGTAGAACATGATTGAACTTTCAGAGGGGCACATACATTCCCCCTGTGCCACTGAAGGATAAAGCTATCCCTCATAAGTAGTGAGTTCTTGGGGAGCAGGACCTGTGTTCCTGCTTTCATAGGTAAAGCTCTAGGGAAGATGGACTGGCCCACACACAGTAGTGAAGTGATTGATTCCTGCAATTCAGAAACCCTACTCCATGTAGGCATTTTATTTACTCCATAGCTTTCTTAAATAGGAACCAGGAGAAAATAAGATGCAGATTTGATTTTATTCCGGTGAGAGCATAACAACACTATTGTATTGCAAATGAAAAGGTAGTCTAGAAAATGTTAAGGTAGTCTAGAAAGAAAAAGGAATTGTGGATACTGAAGGTAGGAACAAGGCACTCAAGACTAGTTTCAGCTGTAGTTCCATTGAACTGTAACTTAGTAGTTGCTTTAGAATAAAGGCGTATGGGAACTGCATTTTATTAAAGTTTATTTTCTTGAGAAAAATAACAGTAGATGAAGGATGGCTTTTCATGTAGAGAATATACTGATAAAAATAATACATGCTATCGGGGGGGGGCAGTTAGGATGAATAGTTTGAATTGGCGTTAAGGCATTTGGTTGAGGCTTTCTCTTTTTGTCTAACTCAGTTGTTGAAAATCTCTAAATTTTTTTTGAGAATGTACACTTTTCGCTCTAAACGTGGTTTATTTTTCAGAACTGCCTGCTGGTTGGGAAAAGATCGAAGACCCTGTCTATGGTATCTACTATGTAGAGTAAGTGCCTGTTCACAATGTACATGGTTGTTTGTGCTCCTCTATTGATTTACATGGATGCTAGACAGACTTCTCATCATGACAAGAGTCACACTAAATAACCATAAAATAATATTAATTTTATAATGGAGATGTGTGTGTATATATATATTTAAGATTTATTTATTTGAAAGGCAGAGTGCCACAGAGGGAAGGAGAGAGAGACAGAGAGAGATAGATCTTCCATCATTGGTTTACTCCCTTGATGCCTGCAACAGTTAGAGTTGGGCCAGGCTAAAACCAGGAGCCAGGAACTCTTTCTGGGTCTCCCACATGGGTGGCAAGAACCGAAGTACTTGGGCCAACATCGACTGCCTTCCCAGGCACATTAGCAGCAAGCTGAATTGAAAGCTGAGTAGCTGGAACTTGAATTGGCACTCCAATATAGGATGTGGGCATCCCCAGTGGCAGCTTAACTTGTCACCACAGTGCCCACGTATGTGTACATTTTAATGAACAAGAAAATATATGCAGTTGGCTGGCATTGTGGCACAGCAAATTAAACTGCTGCCTGCATTGGTGTCATGCTGGTTCAAGTTCTGACTGCTCTACTTCAGATCCAGCTCCCTGCTAATGAACTTGTGGAAGATGGTCCAAGAAGTTAGACCCATGCCAATGACGTGGGAGACCTGGATGGAGTTTCTGACTCCTGGATTCCTCCCTGACCCAGCCTTGACTGTTGCAGCCATCTGGAGAATGAGCCAGTGGATGGAAGATCTCTTTCTGTATCTCCCTCTCTCTCCCTGTCACTCTGCCTTTCAAATAAATAAACATAAATCTTCAAAAAAGAAAATATGCAGTAACTCTGAATTTAACATGCCATGTTATTAAATTTAGAAGAGCAAGATCCGTTTTGTTTATTTCACTAAGACCCAGCCAAGTCAATTAAGAAAAGAGGGGTTTGTTGGACTTGATGAATAAGAGTTGTTCATCTTCAGGAGGACAGGGACCTGTTTAGCCTCCTTTTTGCCCTGCCCAGATCTGAACTTATTCATTGTTATTTCTTCGTTCACACATTCTCCAAAGGTAAGATAGATCTTAATCATTTATCAAATGTTGCCAAGAACAAGCAGGAAGTGGCAACTCTGGCTGAGCTACAAGGCCTTGTGCACCCCATGCCTGTCCCTTGCTGGAGAACCCTACACATGACTTCTGATGATTTCCAAGCCCTTCTTGGGTCCTGTTCACTATGTGCCGTATTCCAGCATTGGGCTCACTCTTTGCTTTCAGCAGAACCACTGATGATAGGAAAAAGATACTCAAGAGATAGGACATTGACAAAATAGGCTTCGTGCCATTTCCTGTAAGAAAGATGAAAGAGAACTAATAAAAGACAAATAAATGCCAAATAAATGTATCATCATAACATTCTCTGTTAGGAAGAAGATGGGGTGTCTCAGCCTCATGTTGCTGGCTGTGAAATGTTATCTGTACAATGCCATGGTAATGGGAGCATATGATACACAAATGCCAGACCGTAAAATGCCCAGTCAAATATTGTGTAAAATTATGAGTTCAGAGTAGCAAGTGTTCTTGGCCAGTCCTAATATTGCTTCCTCTTTAACTGACACAGTGGATTGGCATTTTGGGGTATGATGAAGAAGCAAATGCGGCCATTATCTCGCCATTTATAGGAGTAAAATAATGTCCTTTGTTTGCCCCCAAAGATTATTTTTCTTGTAGGTGTATGGTGAGGTTTCTCCTATTTGGGGCTCCTTTTGTCTTGCCCTTCATCTTGTTTGTGCATTAAGAGAGAAAAAGGAACAGGTGAGAACAGCTGTGACCACCAAAGAGACATGGTTTGAGAGGCAGGTTGCCATCCTGCCCTTCAGTTCTCGATTCTGTGTCTTTTAATATGTGATCTCCATGTTTATTAATGTTTCTTTGAAAATTGCCAGCAAGAATTAGGACATAAAAAATTTTAATAGGAATTAAAGGTAATCAATTTATCTGTTTGACACAGCTGCTTTTAAAAATAAAGCCTGATTTTAAAATATATATCTTTAGTGTTCTAAATAAGTATATGATAAGTATATTCCCTAACTTCTAAGAAATAAAATGGTTTTGAATTAAAGTATAAACACACAAACATATTGGGACTTTCAGCTTAGCAGTTACGGTGTTTGTTAGCATGTCCACATATGGTTTTGCAGTACCTGGTTTCTATACTGAGCTTCAGCTTCTGGCCTTGAGAGATAGCAATGAGTAACCAAGTGATGGGTTTCTGCTATCCATATGAGACACCTAGCTTGACTTCCCAGCTCCTGGTTTCAGCCCCCTAGCCAATACAGGCATTTGCAGAATGAACCAGAAGATGCAGGCTCTCTCTTGTTTCTGTCTGCCTCTCAAATAAGTAAATTTAAAAAAAAATTTGAAATTCATACTTTTTTTATAATACTTGTTTTCCCTGAACTTATAGATGGCCTTCATATGTATGGATTTCAGAAACTTTTTGTGCCCAAATAAACATACCTTTAATTCCAATTTCCATAACATTTTGAAATGTATAGCCCATATATACACACCCACACTAAATAAGGCCATTGTAAAAGCATCTTTGTGTATATATTTTCATGTGTGTGTGTGTGTGTGTGTGTATTTGCCATGACCTTACCAATCTGGAGGCCATTCAAAAGTTCTGAATCTCTGCCACTTTGAACACGTCACATCTGCTTAGGTCAGCTATATTTGCAGTTTCTTTGCCTTACAGCTATACTTTTAATCCTTTTCCCAGGTCTGTTGATCACAATAGTCAACAGATGTTGTAAAGTCCTTTTAAAAACTCTGTTCTTTGGCTAAATGCTTATGCTTCTGCAAAGCATATGGTAGAAAATTTCACAGCAGTTCCTGCCCTGTATGTCACAGACAGTATGTCACATCTGCTTGGTTTTTATTTTTCTTATTCTATTTCTATTTCATGTCGAATTAAAGCAGATTTCCCTTCTTGAGAAGGGTCAGTGGTTAACATCCTAGCGTGTGAAAGCAGGCAGACTGGAGCTTGCACGCTTATACTGCTTACAGGTAGCTTAGCTGAGTTATTAACCGCTCAGAAACTTACTTCCTTATCCATAAAATGCAGTAGTCTCCCTTACTCAGTTTTGCTTTCTGCTATGTCAGTTAGAGTCACCTGTGGTTCAGAAATACTCAGTAGAGAATTTCAGAAAAAAACGGTTTAGAAATTTTCAACAGTGCGCTGTCCTGAGTCACAAGAGGAGATCTCATGCTGTCTCATTCTTGCTGCCTGATCTGTCAGTCATCCATTCGTCCAGCATCCCCGTGCTGTATACACAGCCACCTGTTAGTCACGTGGTAGCCCTCTCCGTTATCAGGTCATCCACAGAGGTGTCCCAGTGTCTGTGTTCACGTAAGCTTTATCTTACTGACTGATGCCCCAAAGAGCAAGAGTGAGGACGCTGGCAAATCGATTTTGTCAAGAGAAGCTGTAAAGTGCTTCTTTTCACTGAAAAGGTGAGAATTCTAAGTAAGGAAAGAATGAAATCATGTACTGAGGTTGCTGAGATGTATGGCAAGTTGTTAATCTCTTATTGTACCTAATATTGAAGTTAAACTTCATCATAGGTATGTATATGTAGGAAAAATTACATGTCTACATGTAATATATATGTCAATCATATATATTTACATAAATCCCATGTCTATAATATATATCATGTCAGTCATATATAATATATAATATATATATTTTATACATATACATATATATATACACATATAATTTGGTACTCCCTACAGTTTCAAGCATCTGTGGGGTATCTTGGAACATGTCCCCCACAAATAAGGGGGGACAATCTTGTGGATAAAAGTAGAATTTACCATGCTGTCAGTTACAGGGAATTTTCACGTAAGTGCATGTAAAACTGCTAACACAGTGCTAGGGGCATATAAGCATTCAGTAATGGAAACCATTTGTTTTTATGGCCTCTTCCTAATGGTGCATTATGACACTGGAGGGTCAGCCTCTCAGACCACCCACTTACCAGTACTGGCCTGATTGGCATTTTGCTGGTGAAGTGCAGTGTTGCCTAGCTGAATATTATTTTCCTTCTTCCCCAGCCACATCAACAGGAAGACACAATATGAGAATCCAGTTCTAGAAGCCAAACGGAAGAAGCAGCTTGAGCAGCAGCAGCAGCAGCAACAGCAGCAGCAGCAGCAGCAGCAGCCGCCGCCGGCAGAAGGTTAGCCCTTCCCGGGAGACTTCTCTCCAGCAAGGAACCTAGGGCGAAGGCTGGGCAATGACACCCCCGTGTGGTCAAAACTGGCCTTGATGGTTGATTCGTTCTGCCACTCTGAGTTGATGTCCCGGCAGCAAGAATACAGAGCTGCTGCTGAAATCCCAGCAGCCCCGCTGGATAGCTGCTGTGGGGTCCCAACTCAAAAGCTCCCAACCTCCACCTTAACTAGACAAGAGCGTCCTTTGATCCAGATAACTAGATAAGAGCATCCTTTGATCCAGGAGCTGTCTCGTGGTTGATGGATTCGCCTTGCCGTGGCACGGTTCTTCATAGCCACTGTCTCATTCCCAGCTACTCTTAGCATTTCCCCGTTAAGCTGAGTTCCTGGACATGAGACTCACTTTTAAGTTGGGGGAAATGACCTATAAGAATCAGAAAGAGATGGTAATTTTGAGTGCTTTTAAAAAGTGACGGGTTACTTAATGTTGTTTATAAGAAAAAAATCTGAGAAGGTCAGGGTAAAGAGAAGGAGGTTCTTACCTGTTTGCCCTATCACATTCTCAGAGGTAAACACTGTGCAAAAATTTCCCAAGGGTTTGCAGATTTTCATGTGTTTACAAAATCAGATCATAACTACATATAGTTTGCTCACTTTTTATTTCTTAGACTTATCAGAGTCATTTAATATATATTTTTATTATATATTTACTTTTTTTTACAAAATTTATTTATTTATTTGAAAGGCAGGGTTACAGAGAGGCAGAGGCAGAAAGAGGTTTTCCATCTGCTCGTTCACTCCCCAAATGGCTGCAATAGCCGGAGCCATGAGCCATGAGCCTGGAGTTTCTCCCAGGTCTCCCATGTGGATGCAAGGGCCCACGGACCTGGGCCATCTTCCACTGCTTTCCCAGGCCATAGCAGAGAGCTGGATCGGAAGTGGAGCAGCTGGATCTCGAACCGGCACCCATTTGGGATGCCGGCACTGCAGGCGGCGGCTTTGCCCACTATGCCATAGTACAAGCCCCTATTATATACTTTTAATAGCTACATAATATTCCATTTTATGAATGTCTTCACCACTATTTAACTATCCATTTATTAGTAGATAATTAGATTTTTCCAATTTTTGATTAAAACATTTTAATGTTATGGGTTGAGTACCCCTTCAGTATGTGAATATCAAATGTATGAAGGTCAAGTCTAGTACTTCTGGATACTGTAATATTGAATAAATACAATACCTTAGATTATGGGTTCACAAACTTTTCTGTAAATGGCCATATAGTAAACATTTCAGTCTTTGTGATTCATGCAGTCTCTGTGACACCTAATGTTGCTGTTGCAGATAAAAACAGCTATGGACAACTTGTAAATGAGTTGGTGTAGCTGTGTTTCGGTATAACCTTACTTCTGGACACTGTCATTTGAATTTCATGTCATTTTCATGTGTCATAAAATATTCCACATTTTTCCCCAGCTATTTAAAAATTTGAAAACTGTTCTTGGCTCCCAGGCTGTATACAAGCTAGCTGACTGCTGCCCTACCCTATGTAATTTAAAGAGTGTGTAGATGCATGTGTCTACATTTATTTGCCCATTATAAAGTTCTCTTCTATACCTTAATTCTTTTTCTATTTAAAAAGAGCCTCTAAAAGAATGTGTTTTCTAAGCTGTGAATCCTGGTAGTGTTCAGAAGTAGTTTGTGGAATGGGAACAGGCGATTGAATGTGTTAGCTGCACTAGAAAGTGAAGCCAGGAGACCCCCAAAGCACACTCACTGTGAATTACTTCGGGGCCTCCAAGGTGATTAAGACTAGAGGAAAGAACTTTAGGAAGTTCATGGTGAATGCATATTACTAAAAAAAAATCTATACATGGATTTCACAAGTTTTTATCAAAATAATGTGTTATTCCGATTTTCCATGAATGTTTTGAAGTACTCCCGTGGTTAGGATCAGGATTAGAGTCATGACACCCCCCCACCCCAGGTTTCAGAGTTGCACCTGAACAACCTGCTGAGAGTGCCTTCCTCCGCCTGGCTCCCTCTGCAGTTGGTATGAATCGCATTAGTGACGTTTCTCCTTTGTAGGACTGTCCTCTGGTGACTGTCTTCCCTGGTGTTTCCTATTTATTCCCAGTTGGGATTCTAGACAGAGAAGTGGAGCTTTTGTTGGTATATATATCTATATATAGTTAAATATATTGATCACCAATCAATATTTCTTATTCTCACTTTGGACTCTGGAGAAATAGAGGTTTTGTGTGTTGAGATCAATACATCAATTGATTGATTGATGGGTGAATAGATAGGTATCACAATATTTGTTTCCATGACCATCTGACAGGAGAAAGAGGTCAGACACCAATTTCTTTTTCTCTTTTTTTTCCAGAAGAATCATGGCTTTTATTTTTAGACATTAGGTGGCCTCCTAGTGGCAGGATCTTGCTTCTGCCTGCAGCAACTCAGTGGCCCCGTTGAATCTGTGGAGCTGGGAGGCTTAGGATGCGCTCACAGTTGATGGAGCCATCCCTGTCCTCATACCCCGCCTGGGCAGGCTCAGCCTCCTCTGTCATCTAACCTCCCGAACCCCAGGCGCAGCACAGGGGCCCAGCCTCCCCTCGCCAGCCCACACCACTGTATTCCCTTTTCTACCGACTCAAAGCTGCTTTTTTTTTTTTTTTTCTACTTTTCTATGGACTCAAAGCTCTCTGCCTTTGATCTCAGTGCTTTGGGTGTTACCAAGAAGGAGGGGACTCGTCAGTCGTCCAGCCATTAGAAGGAAAAACAGGAAGCTGTTTCTGTTCTTTATTCTAGAGTGGACGGAAGATCATTCATCCCTTGTGCCTCCTGTGATTCCAAGCCACCCCCCGAGCAATCCGGAGCCAGCCAGAGAAGCTCCACTTCAGGGTATGGTGTTTTTGTGATTGCATCTTGGTTTTATGTAAAAAAAATCTTGTTATTAAAAAGTGGGCTTTTGTAACTCTCAGATCATTCCTTTGATAGTGAAAGCCATTAATAATGAAAGCAGATCTGGATGTATTGTTAATCAGACTTGTCCAAAAAATTTTTCTGAGTCAGTTTAACTCTTGGTGATACTCTCAAAGTCAGGACTACTTGTTAAATGAACAATTAAACTAAGAGTTTTCAGCCTCAGCACTATTGACATTTTTTGCCAGATAATTGTTTTAAAAGATCAATTTTTATTTGAAAGTCAGAGTTACACAGAGAGAAGGAAAGACAGATCTTCCATCGGCTGGTTCATTCCCCAGGTGGCCACAACAGCCAGGGCAGGGCCAGTCTGGGTCTCCTATATGGGTGCAGGAACTCAAGTACTTGGACCATATTCTACTGCTTTTCCCAGGTCATTAGTAGGGAGCTGGATAAGAAGTGGAGCAGCCAGGATATGAACTGCTGCCCAGTTGGGGTGCCGGCATCCTAGGCAGCAGCTCTACCCACCGTGCCACAATGCTGGCCTTGCCAGATAATTCTCGGTGTGTGAGACTTAATTATGGGAGGGTTAGCAGCACCCTGGCCTCTGTCCATTAGTTGCCAGGAGCATATACCCCATCTCCTACCCCCAGCTGTGACAACCAGAAATGTTTCCAAATATTGCCAGATGTCCCTGGGGTGCAGAACCATTCTACACTTGGGAATTGCTGACTTGGAATCTGTTTATACTATGTTGAATAAAGCAAACTCAAAATTCAGCATTAAGTATTTCAGAATACTCATCAATATATTTGTTTTTATCTGAGATCTTCCTGTCAGTGTAAATGGTTTAATATTGCACTTTTCAGTTCTTATCCCCTGTTCGTGCCACAGTTTTGGCATTTAAAGAATAATTTATTTATTTGCTTGAAAGGAAGAGTGACACTGAGGGAGGGAGAGAGAGACAGAGATCTTCCATCTACTGGTTTGCTCCCCAGATGCCCACAATAGCCAGGGCTGGACCAGGTCAAAGCCAGGAGCCTGGAATTCCATCTGGGTCTCCCACATAGGTAACAGAAGCCAAGTACTTGGGCCCCTATCCACTACTTTCCCAGGCACATTAGTGGGGAGCTGGATCAGAAACAGAGAAGCCATAACTTGAAACAGCTCCCATATGGATGTTAGCTTTGCAAGTTGCTGATTAATCTGCTGTGCCACACGCCAGCCCCAGTTTTGGCATTTATACCTGTTTTATTTTTCAGTGGGTCTCACTGGTTTACATTCACAAATAGTTTGAACCCCCTAGAAGGGTTCATTCTTGAACATTGGAGGCTCCAGAACCATGCTACTTCAGGCCTCCTTCCTCTTCAGTGAGAGGAAAGGGTTTTGCTCAGATTTTTGCTTCTAAATAGCAGAACTAGAAGAAACATCCTGTTTGACAGAGTTGGGGAAAGTGCGTGGTATAGAACAAATAAAAAACTTCTAAGATTTGCCTTCTTCCTGTATGCATTTTTAGAGAGTTCAAGTGTGGAAAAAGCTAGGTGGGGGCGATGCTCTGGCTCCACACATAAAGCCACAGCCTGCAGCACCGACATCCAAGAGGGACGATGGTTCGAGTCCCTGCTGCTCCACTTCCAATCCAGCTCCCTGCTAATGTGCCTGGGAGAGCAGCGGAGAGCAGTGGAGGATCGCCCAAGTGCTTGGGCCCCTGCACCCACATGGGAGACCTGGAAGAAGCTCCTGGATCCTGGCTGTGGCCTGGCTCAGCCCCAGCTGTTGATCATTTGGAGAGTGAACCAGCTGATGGAGGATCTCTCTCTGTCTCCCTCTTTCTCCATCAAACTGACTTACAAATAAATTTAAAAAAAAAAAATTCAACCACAGTTTAAAAAAAAGAAAGCTAGGTGGGGTACTCTTTTCTCTGATTTTGATTTCCCTATGATAATTTTTATAAGGAAGAAATTCTGTGCTGACATTGCCCTAGATTAATATTGAAATTAGATAGAAATAATTTCTTCTGGCATAAATGTACTTTTTTGTGGTGATAGTAACTAGAACCTAGTAGATAATATATTAATATGAACATGATTGTGGCTTCATTAATATTTTTTAATTATCAGATTCCTTCTGCAGGCTCCCATAGTCTTGCCCTTCCCTCTTTGACAGTCCGTTAGTGACACCACCCTCTGTTACGCCCTTGTACCGGTGCAGCTGGACCATCTCTAGGCTTTTGCATGTGCACGGCTGTCTTTCCCTCCAACTCCCTCCTTTGCCAACCCCTGCTCTTCTGAGGTCTTTCCTTGATTCCCGTATCATATTCACTCTTCACAGCACCCTGTCTGTCTCGCTTGTAACACTTAGCAGGTATGGTTCATGTTTGTTTGTGTTCTGTTATTTAACAGTAATTTCCTCGTTAGACTTTGGGTCCCATGGAAGCAGGAGACTGTGATGATTATTATATTTTTTCCACTGTGGCTAACCTCAAATCAGGCTCCAATCCTTGGTACCTAATTTCTGCTGAAGTTGATAATTGAGTGTAACAATATATATGTGTATGAGGGTACCTCAGAAAGTTTGTGGAAATGGAATTTTAAATTTATCTGGAGGCTAAAATTTTTGAAGTCCATGCATACAAGGGGTCTTCAGGAAGCTCATGAAAAAAGTATATTTTGAAATACAATGCTTGGTGGCCAGCACTGTGGCGTAGCAAGCTAAGCCTCCTCCTGCAGTGCCAGCAACCCATATGGGCACTGATTCAGGTCCTGGCTGCATCTCTTCTCATCCAGCTGTCTACTTATGTCCTGGGAAAGTAGTGGAAGATGGCCCAAGTGCTTGGACCCCTGCACCCACATGGAAGATCCAGAAAAAGCTCTTGACTCCTGGCTTTGGATGGGCCCAGCTCTGGTCACTGGGGCCATTTGGGGAGTGAACCAGCAGATGGAAGACCTTTCTATCTTTCCCTCTGTTTCTGTGTGATTCTCTCTCAAATAAATAAATAAAATATTTATTTAAAAAAAAAACAATGCATGGCTTTCAAAAACTTTTGCACCAAAATGAACTTTATTCATTCTGTTTTCCCATGAACTACATGAAGTACTCTTGGATCCACCCATCCATCCACCCATATGTATATGATAGGTAGGCCAAGCTTCTTTAAAGGATTATCAGTAATTCCATAAATTAAAGCTTTAAGGTTTGGGTTCTGGGTGCTAAACGCTTAAGTCACCAACTGAGTAGAGTCGAGGTAGCATTTACCTGCATGAGAAATGTCCTGTCAGATTTTTTTCTTCTCTGCTTTTTGTTTTTCCTTTCTTCATTAGTCTGCTTGGGTTTGATAGTGGCCTGGAAAAGTTTCTGCTCTCTGAACTCTCCTGGCATTGGCTCATTTGTCCTTATAGTCCTTCTGCATGGTTTCCATGTTGGTTTTTGTCTCTGAATCTTTGGAATGTAATTGATACCAAAGAAACCTTTCAGAATCCAGTGTGATAAACACTTAGACTTTATTCTCATTGGTTGAGATCCTCAGTTACCCATTTGCTAGTCCGCTATCTAGTCTTGTGTGTTATGTACCATGTGAGTGTTGATAGTATTATCAGAAGAAGCTGTATACCTAACTCGGTTAGAGTGTTTGATGTGAATTTTGCTAAATTCACTGCTCACCTGAACTCTCCCCGGATCAAGAAGACACTTCTCATCCCAGCGTGTAGTGGATTTAGAACGTGCTCTCAGGCAAACTCTCCAGTTTCAAGTGTAGGCTCGAAGGGAGATTTTTGGAGCCACCCTTCTGCTGTAGTCACTCTACCAAGAACACTGTCAAAATAAAGACCTCTGAGCTCTTCCTATGTGCGAGGCACCTGCTTGAGCACTTTATCGGCATCGTCCGCCACAGTTACTCATCACAACTGTCATGTGTGGTAGGTGCAAAACTTAGAGAGGTTTAGTAATTTTCTCGAGGCCACACCGCAAGTAAGCAGTCGAGCACAGATCTGAAGGCTCATTGTCACTGGGATTGGTTTAACTTTTGTCTAAAACCTTGGTGTGGTTGTTTTTCACATGATGCCTCATTGCATAGTCTGTGTTCCATACTGTCTGATAAGGTTGCCACAGGTTGTATGTTTTCCATATACATTTTTTATAATTAAAAAATTAATAATTGAGTTCCTCAGTCCCACTAGCTGCATTTCAGGGCCTCCGTTACTACATGTGACTAGTGGCTGCCATATCAGACAGTGCAGGAATGGAGCATTCCCATCGTAGCAGAAGTGCTACTGGACAGCACTGGTAGAGGGCATTTGAGCTCTAGTATCAAACACAGTGCCAGCCTAGTGTGGAACAAGCACTCAAGTGTTGTTCAAGTACAAGGATTACTCAGGTTTTGAGCTAAGACCCAAAAGCTCCTGATAAAGTGAGTCTAGGGTAGGAATTAGAATTTCTAGACTCTACTCAGGTGATTTTTATGTATGGCTAGGTCCTAGAACTGGTGGCTGGTCAACAGAGGGTGGCGTATCCAAACATTACATGTTCATACAGAGCTGCAAGCAGAGAGCTCCAAGTTGTACTGCTTGAAGAGAGAACAGCATTTGTTCCCCAAAGCTACCTTAGATGATGACCCACCCATTCATAAAACATAATAAAGTGTGCAAAATGGGAAAGCCTCTGATCATCTCTCCCCAGTCACACATAGGATACGGGATTCCATGGTACAATTTCAAAGCTCTGTTCCTGTCTCTATCAAGGTGAAAACATTCTAATCCCAGAATTGGTTAATGGTATTCAAAATTTTTTCAGGTAGACTCCCAGGCACACTTTCACATCTTCTAACTGTGTCTGTTAGAAGTGTACAAAATTCTAATACACAACATCTCTTTTTAGGCTTCTCAAAGGTAGGTTAAGTCTCACAGCTTTGTGCTTTTGTTTGTTTATTCATTCACTCAGCACCTAAAATATACTGGACCATATTCCAGAGGCAGTGAACACAAAAAGGAATCCTCATGGTGCTTAGATTCTTGCGGATTTTCACATGTGCGCAGGGCCGTGGGCAGTGCCCCCTGATGCTTGCGAGTGGGGACAGTGAGACAGGAGAGCAGCCAGTAGCTCAGATGTTTGGAAGGTGGTAAATGCTAAGGACAGAACTAAAGGAGGGAGGAGGAACCACAGCCTTTAATGAAGTAGTCGGGGAGGTCCCCCTGGAAAGTACAGCTGTTGATGTCCCCGTGTAAGTGAAATGCTCTTCCCTCAACTCCCAGCAGCCTCTGCCGCTGGAGTCTAGGCCTTCCCACCCCAACTCCTGTTGGATCACCTGTCCTCAACTTTCCATCCACTAATTGCCTTGGCAGCTGTCTCCCCAAAGCCCTTGCTGCAGGTGACATCACCCTCTTGGTTTTCTGGCAGATGACTTCACACTGTGCATCCTCCTCAGGCATCTCCTAAGCCATAGCGACAGGGCTGGATGGAGTTTGTCAAGCTTCCAATAAACCTTGGGACTGTGTTAGGGAGGAGGGTGTTGGGAGCTGGCCTTCGACTTGGGCAGTTGAGAAGAACCTTACTGTTCAGAGCCAGAATCTTTGAAAATATGCAATTAAAAGCTGTATGCATGCCCAGAGACCTTTTAAGGCCTTTTAGATGGAGCTAACCAAAAATAACTTTCTTTCCTGGGTGCCAGGCTCCTACTACAGGGGTGTGTATGTGTTCTTCTGTTGTTTTCGTGGCTAACGTTTTTGGTAGAAGAAGGGTGGAACAGATGAGGAAGCAATAGCAAGGGCAGGACTAGGAAATGAAATTAGCAGAGAGGGAAAACTCTGCTCATGGAATTGTGTCCACTATTTAAGTAACTAGAGAAATCCCAGTTTCTCAGAGGAATGTCTAATAAAACCAAAATGAAACTTTGATTTGTGTCCAGAATATTATTTTTTACTACATTAAGAAAACTCAACAATTCCTTGTGCAGTGTTTGGAAGTTATTTAGCTGTGTGTATATAACTTTTTTTTTGAAGATTTATTTATTTATTTGGAAGGCAGAGTTAGTTACAGACAGAGGCAGAAAAAGATACCTTCCATCTGCCATTTCACTCCCCAAATGGCCACAATGGCCACAGCTGGGCTGATCTGAAACCAGGAGCCTGGAGCTTCTTCGGGTCTCCCATTTGGGTCCATCTCCTACGTGGGCCATCTTCCACTGCTTTCCCAAGCACATTAGTAGGGAGCTGGTGGAGTAGGGACTCGAACCAGTGCCCATATGGTTTGCTGGCACCGCAGACGAGGGCTTTACCCACTATGCAATGGTGCTGGCCCCATCTAACTATTTATTTTTTTAAAGATTTATTTCAAAGGCAAAATCACAGAAACAGAGAGAGGAGACATGTACAGAGAGAGAGAGAGACCCATCTTCCATCTGCTGCTTTACTCCCCAAATGTCCACAATAGCTCAGGGTGGCCTAGGCCAAAGCCAGGATTCTGACACTCCATCCGGGTCTCCCATGTGGGTGGCATGGGCCCTTTTACTTGGGCCACCATTCACTGTTGCCCAGGTGCACAAGGAGGGAGCCAGATTGGAAGTGGAGCAGCCAGGACTTGAACCTGCGTTTATATGGATGCTGGCATTGCAACCTGTAGCTTAACCTATTGCACCATGGTGCCAGCCCCTACTATTAATATGTGTTAAATAAGATGGCTGAATTTGGAGTTCTGTGGCTATTGTTAGTAACTCTTTAGTTTGGGGGTTTTCTCTTAAGTATTTTTATTTATTTTTAAGACAGAGTGATGGAAAGAGAAAGGGAGAGAGAGCTGCCATTCACTGGTTTGCTCCCCAAATGACCATAATGGCTGGGGCTGGGCCAGGCTGACTTCAGAAGCCAAGAGCGGTATTTCTGCAAACACATCTTCCTAATAGCCCCTGTGCACAAGCTTGGAGAGTTTTATCATGCTTAGTTCACCTCTTCAGAAGCCAGGAACTCCACCCTGGTATCCCATGTGGGTGGCAGGACCTGAGTACTTGAGCCATCACCTGCTGCTGTCTGAGGCACATTTGAAGACAGCAGGATTGGAAGCGGAGCAGCCAGGACTCCATCCAGCACCCTGATACGAGATGCAGACATCTCAAGCAGCGGCTTAACCCACCATGCCGCAATGCCAGCACCTTGTTGAGGGTTTTGTGTTCTGTGTGTGTGTGTGTGTGTGTGTGTGTGTTTTTAAGATCCCAGGTCACATATCCTTTTAAACAGTAAATGTTAGCAGTGGACACGTGTTGGCTAGTTCACAAATTGTTAAAAGGTGCGAATTAATAGGGAAAAATCAGCTAATTTAGAGAATTATTTTTTAATAAGTATTTTTTAAGGTATATTATTTATTTGAAAGAGTTGCATAGAGAAGAGGAGAGACAGGGAATCTTCCAGATGCTGGTTCACTCCCCAAATGGCTGCAACAGCTGGGTCTGCACCAAGCCAAAGCCAGGAGCTAGACGTGTCTTCCCAGTCTCCTCCCACCTGGGTGCAGGGGCCCAAGCACTCAGGCCATCTGCTGCTTTCCCAGACTATAAGCAGGGAGCTGGATTAGAAGTGGAGCAGCCAGGTCTTGAACCAGTGCCCATATGGCATATTGGCATCACAGGTGGAGGCTTAACCTGCTACGCACAGTGCTAGCCCCAAATTTAGAGATTTAGAAGCTGATACAAACTAAAGTTATGAGGCTTCATTTTCAAAACAGTGACTTTTTTTAATGTTCTTGTCAAATTTGTTTTTGTGACTCTATTTCCTAGTTCTATCTGTGCATTTGCAGTGTGAGTTTCCTGTTTGATTAAAAACTGATGATTTTGCTCAGCTGTTTTTCCAAGTGGAAGCCAAGCCCAGAGTAGCACATAGGAAGCACTGTTGCAAAATCAAAAATGAAACAAAGCCAAAGACAGAAAACAAAGAGCAATCATATTTTCTGTGGAGGAGCTTGTCACAGTGCAGATGCTATCAAACTCCATCACGTACCTGAGACCTGTTTCATTTTCTAGATTTTTCTTTTAGGCCTTAGAGGTGATGTGCTCTGTATATTATTTCCCTCTGCTGAACAAGGGGGTCTAGGAATACTCTTTAATACTGAAATCAAGAGGAGCCTTCTAAAAAATTTTGATTTATATATTTGAGAGACACAGAGCCCCCATCTGCTGGTTTACTCCATAAATGCCAAAAAAAGCCATGGGCAAGCCAAGAGTGAAGGGGACTCAATCCAAGTTACCCATGTAGGTAGCAAGAACCCAATTACTTGAGACATCACTCCTACCTCCCACAGTCTGCATTGGCAGGAAGCTGGATTTTGGAGCCTGTGCCAGGAATCGAACCCAGATACTCTGATGCAGGATGTGGGCGTCTTAACCGCTAAGCTAAAGACCCACCCAGGAGAGGTGTTTCTGAAGACACATCTTCCCAAAGGCCCCTGTGCACAAGCTTGGAGAGCTTAATTCACCTCTTCAGTCCTGCTGATGTTCCATGTACTTTTCTTGTTTTCATCCAGGCAAACCCTTTTTTACACGAAACCCTTCTGAATTGAAAGGGAAATTCATTCACACAAAGCTGCGGAAAAGCAGCCGAGGCTTCGGCTTCACCGTGGTCGGCGGGGATGAACCTGACGAATTTTTGCAGATCAAGAGCTTGGTCCTCGATGGTCCTGCTGCTTTGGATGGCAAGATGGAAACAGGTAGAGTCCATATGACCTTGGCACATTCTGTGTGGTGCACCTGCTACCCACACCCGGACAGCAGCAAACATCATCATGATTTCATGGGTCTGTAAATGTCCTTTAAATACTTGGAAAATATGTTGGATTTCTCTATTAGAGAAATTCATCCCTTGACACAGATGGAAATCTTTGAAGCTATTTTAACTTAGGGAAAGCTATTAGGGTGATCTAGAGTACAGCTAAGCAATAATTTACTAAAAATGTGATCCATTTAAATAATTCTGAACTTGAGTTTTTGCAGGAACATTTTTTTTTTTTAAAGACTCAAGCTCCAGTGTTCTCACAATGACTACTGCATTCTTACTGGCAGGAAAGGCACTGGATGCTAACAGCACACTTTATTTGTAGTTAAAATAAGTAATAGAAGCAGTCTGTGTGTACCAGGTATCACCCGCAAGTCTAGGTTCAGTTCAACTTTGTATTGCCAATGTGGAGGAGGCAAAATTTTATTGCTTCCCTGTTAGGGTTGTTGCCTGGGCCTGGGAAAAACGTACAGGTTTATTTACTTTGAGTTTTATGTGACAAGGGACCCTATGAGAAAGTGAAAACCAGAAGATTCATTATATGCCAGGTTAGATACAGAGTAGTTAAGCTGTGAAAACGTGATCAGGCAGAGGAGTTTGGGCTGGGTTAAACGGGCAGAGACATGGGTAGAAAGATAAAGGGTATTGAACCCAGTGGGTTTGCACAGATTTCTCTTGACTTGGACTCTCTGTACTTGATGACAAGAATGTTACTCTTCTCCTGATATCGGGGGGGACATCTTCCACGTGGGCTTTTTCTCCTCTCAGGAAGAATAAAAGTGTCTTTAACTGCAAATAATCTTGATGCCAAAGTGTCATATGAGTGTGTTGCAATGGTCTGTTCTGAGCTCCTGTGTCACAGGGCTACAGTAAGTGACTCACCTTTGCAGGGTGCTGTGTTTTCTGACCCCAAACTCTTACATTTTCAGGGGATGTCATTGTCAGTGTGAACGACACTTGTGTTTTGGGCCACACGCATGCTCAAGTTGTGAAAATCTTCCAGTCCATCCCCATCGGTGCCAGCGTGGACCTTGAACTGTGCCGAGGTTATCCCTTGCCTTTTGACCCAGATGACCCCAATACAAGTTTAGTGACTTCGGTGGCCATTTTGGATAAAGAACCAATTATTGTGAATGGGCAAGAGACCTATGATTCGCCAGCTAGTCACAGTAGTAAAACAGGCAAAGTCAATGGCATGAAGGATGCCCGGCCGAGCAGCCCTGCTGATGTGACTTCGAACAGTTCCCAAGGTTATCCCAATGACACTGTCTCTTTGGCCTCCTCCATCGCCACTCAGCCAGAACTCATCACCGTTCACATAGTGAAAGGGCCGATGGGCTTTGGTTTCACTATAGCTGACAGTCCTGGTGGTGGCGGCCAGAGAGTGAAGCAAATCGTCGACAGCCCGAGGTGCCGCGGCCTGAAGGAAGGGGATCTCATCGTGGAAGTTAACAAGAAGAACGTGCAGGCCCTCACGCACAACCAGGTGGTGGACATGCTGATCGAATGTCCGAAGGGAAGTGAGGTCACGCTGTTGGTGCAGCGAGGAGGTACGTTGTTCTGTGATGATTTTTTTTTTTAACCCTGAATCCATTGCTTATGTGGCTGGTCTTAGGATGACTTTGGAGTTTCGTGTCTGTTCCTTTATGATCATTTTTATTTCAGTATTTGCAAATGCATTTGGAGCACCTTTTTGATTTCTCCAAATCAAAACAGATACGGTTTACACATGCACAGTAAGCTTCTGGTTTATACATTCTGTTACTTATGTATAGCTGGAGTCGTACTTTCAATTATAAGTCATATTGTGTCTTTTTTCAACCATTAAGATTTTAAAATTTTTATCCTTTAAGTCTCTTGAACCTGTCCCGCAAAAACTGCACAATGCGATTCCTATGCACTCTCGACCTTGTTTCACTTTCCTCTCTCTCTTCTTGCTGTGCTATAGCTATGGTGGCTTCTCTGAAGTTCCTTTAATGCTTCCAACCCTTTCCTACCTCAGGGCCTTTGCACTGCCTGGAGTGATCTGTTTGGCTTAGTCTCCTTCAGGTGCCCTCCCTGAGAGGGCCTCTCTGATTGCTCTGACGTAGCCCCCTGACACTTCCCTGGCACCTCTTCAGTGTCACCCCGTTGTGATGTCCTTTGTCACATCATCATTATCACAGGTATTATTTTGTGTAATTGTTGTTGGATCTTTATCTCTCTTTCACTAGACAACCAGCTCCATAAACTCAGGACGCAGGTCTACAGGTTGGCAGGGTTTTCCCTTGCATTGAACACAACACCTGATTCCTTTTGGGTATTCATGAATGAATGCATTTTGAAATGAATGACTTGGTCTGTGGTTATTCATACTTTCAGGAACAGCAGCGTCACAAATCAAATTAAAAACGTACCTCACAATACATCTTAGAGAAGTGATTGGGAATCCCAGAGAGCAGGAATACTCTCAATATTGAGATGTTAGTCTACTGTCTGAGTCCATGCCAGTCTTCCCCACTCTGTCCCCCATCAGCACTCCCAGGACCTCACACTGAGAACCACTGTCCACAGTTCGGAAATGCCACATTCCCGGGATATGTATCTGTGACCCACTGTGACTGCTCACTGCACGCAATGTGCCTGAGACTCTACTTTTCCCCAATCTTTCTTGCATCATTTGTTTGTGCACAACATACTCAGGCCCTCTGCAAAGAGATTCAGACCCCGATTATTATTCCCTCTTGATTCCACTGCACCGGAGGAGTTAATTCATGTCACAGCAGCCGCATTCTCCCGCTCTCATGAAGTTGTATGTTCTACCATCAAGATGATTGGGGTCGTTAGAAGGAAATTCAGAATTGAGAGCTACTATTGGCGTGAATCAGAATGCTCAATCAACCCTTCCTGAGCTGTTACAAAAGCCATTGTGCAGATTTTACTTTTAAAAATATTATTTGCGGCCAGCGCCGCGGCTCACTAGGCTAATCTTCCACCTTGCGGCGCCGGCACACCGGGTTCTAGTCCCGGTTGGGGTGCCAGATTCTGTCCCGGTTGCCCCTCTTCCAGGCCAGCTCTCTGCTGTGGCCAGGGAGTGCAGTGGAGGATGGCCCAAGTGCTTGGGCCCTGCACCCCATGGGAGACCAGGAGAAGCACCTGGCTCCTGCCTTCGGATCAGCACGGTGCGCCAGCCGCAGCACGCCAGCTGTGGCAGCCATTGGAGGGTGAACCAACGGCAAAAGGAAGACCTTTCTCTCTGTCTCTCTCTCTCTCTGTCCACTCTGCCTGTCAAAAAAAAAAAAAATTATTTGCGCCAATACAATTTTGAAGTCTCTCTTTATACTTGGATCTCTTGATTCCCAGATAACTGGCTCTTGAACAGTGACCGAGATGCAGTAGGAAGTGACTTGTACGTGGGTGTGGCAATGGTGGCAGCCATGGTGATGATGGTGATCCTGCCTTTCTTAGAGATGTGTCTCTGATTGGCAAAGCACTTTCACAGCTGTGTGTGGCTCTCACCCCATCGGTACCCCTTCCCCTTGAGGTAGGAAGGTGCCAGCTCATGGTAGGACTGAGAAATTCGTCCTGACTCCAGGGCCTCCAGTTCAGTTTTCTGCCCTGCCAGAAGAACACTGGCTTTTACATAGTTGCTGGTTTCTGTGGCCATCTACCTGGGAAATTTTAGACTGTTCTTGGTGTATCTATCAGGCATATCTTTGCGTCACACCCTGCTCATCTGATAGTCACAAATCACTCTGCTTTCTGATCTAATCCCTTTGCTGCTTCATTTCTGTTAACCATACGACATCTAGAGATTTTCTCTTCTATTAGAGTCACTTTTAAGGAAGTCAAAAAATAGTCTCATCACAACACACTAATTTATAGCACTTACTGGAACCATATTGTGATGCATTTGCCCAAATTAGCAAATATCTGATACAGAAACATACTCCTTGATTTGAAATGTGTCTGTATTATTTTTTCCTAATTCCTAAAATCATCTTTGTGTTAATGCCATCAACTTTGTAACATTCATATGCTAAGCTCCAAAATATATATGTCACGTTAGTCAACATCTACATAAGTTTATGCCAGAACCTGAGTAATTTAAAATCACTGTAACATCAGCAGTCTTTAAAATATGCTGTATGCCTGTGTGTGATTTATGTACAGGATAGAAAGTTTGTACATCTACAGTTGGCAGGCCGGGACCAGCTACTATTAATCTTTCTGGAAAGCATATAAATATATTTGTTTCTGCCATGTCTTAGTTATTTGAATCAGGGCTCACGTTTAATCATCCCTCCTGTGTGCTGAGGTATAATGAGGAGGTTTGATGAAGGAACGAGACAGCAGCGAGGTTAAATGAGAAAGTAAATGGTCACTTCGTTGATTTCTTTCTAATGAATCTCATTTCTGTTTTAGCTCCTACTAAGCAGATTGACAAACTCATTAAATCTACACTCCTCATGAATCTCAAGGATTCATATCATGAGGACCAAGCCTTCTCAGCTTTTCTACTTTGGGGCAGAATGGGCTATGTAGGCAGTGTGTGTTTTAATTCTTACTCCTCGAGCCCATTGTTGACATTTGTTTTCGTTAAGATCCAGTACATTCCATTTGTAGTATTTTGAGTCCATTCTTGCCCTTTCCATTCCAACATAGAGGTCAGCAGAGGGTGGAATGTCATTTGTAAATTTCTGGGTTCAGACTGTTTCCCGGGTCAGCCTTGCAGGCTGGAGCCGGTGCATCCTGGTGCCTGAGTAGCTGGGGCCATTGCTCATGTTTCCCGAGTCTTCTCTGCGTGGACATCTGCCTGCTGGCTGACCCTTCACCCATGTGAGGGCAGCACATTGTCCCTGTGCCTTGGTCCTGGTCTTCTTACCCTGTGTCCTTCTTCCTTGTCCTTTGCTGTCCATTCAGGACAGTGCTTTATCATTATCATCATCATCATCATCATCGTTTATTTGAGAAACAGAAGGAGAATGCTCCTATCCACTCGTTCTTTCCTCAGATTCCACCATGGCCAAGGCTGAGCCAAGATGAAGCTGGGAGCCAGGAACCCAGTCCAGGCATTCCACACAGGTGGTGGGGATCCAAGGACTTGAGCCATCCTTGCTGCCTCCCCGTTTGCATATAACACCCTGAAATTGGGAGCAGAGTAAGGAATTGAACCTAGGCACTTGAGTATGGGATGTGTGCCTCTTAAGCTGTAGGCTAAATGCCCAGTTGTAATTTTTTTTTTTAATTTTTTGACAGATAGAGCTAGTGAGAGAGAGAGAGACGGAGAGAAAGGTCTTCCTTTTGCCATTGGTTCACCCCCTAAATGGCCACTACGCCCGGAGCTATGCCAATCCAAAGCCAGGAGCCAGGTGCTTCCTTCTGGTCTCCCATGTGGGTGCAGGCGCCCAAGCACTTGGGCCATCCTCCACTGCCTTCCCGGGCCACAGCAGAGAGCTGGACTGGAAGAAGAGCAGCCGGGACCAGAACCTGGTGCCCATATGGAATGCTGGCACCGGAGGGGGAGGATTATCCAAGGGAGCCACGGTCCCGGCCCACTTGTAATATTTTTAACATAGAAATGCTGTCCAGAAATTCTATTGTCTGATGTCTATGGAAATCTAAAGACAGAGATGATTACTTTTTTTGAATATAGAAAATATAGAGAATTTTTCCTGTAAAGGTTTTCACATTTTCACCAAAGAAATTTTATTGTAATTACATAGTAAAACTACCTGTGCCCCTTTCTGTAAAGGATCTTTTGTATTTTGGTGATTGACACCTATCAATAGGTATGACAGTCTTTAAGAAGTAATTTTGTGAGGCCAATGTTGGAGTGGGAAACGCCACTGCCTGTAACACTGGCATCCCATGTGGGCTTTGATTCATGTCCCAGCTGCTTCATTTCCAATCCAGCTCCCTGCTCATGGCCTAGAAAAGCAGCAGAAGATGGCCCAAGTGCTTGGCCCCTGCACCAGTGTGGGAGATCCGAAGCTGCTGGCTCCTGGCTTCAGCCTGGCCTACTGCTGGCTGTTGAGGCCATCTGGACAGTGAACCAGAGGCTGGAAGATTTTCTCTCCCTCTCTGTCTTTCCCTCTCTTTCTCCTCTCTCTCTCTAACTTTCAAAACAAACTTTTTGAAGAGTATTTTTGTGTTATTTCACAGTACTCTGTTTAAAGTGAAGATAAGCAATGCTTTATGAAAGTGGAAAATGCAGGTTTTGCTTTTGAGAGAAAATATATCTACTGAAGTGAAACCTGGGCTGGGGGTGTGAAGAATTGGCCTCTACGTCAGACTCTGCCCCCCAGCTGCTGTATGCATCTGGCCAGCATTTCTTTCTTGACCCCAAAATGGATGTTTCAAACACCAGTATCTCTCAGATAGCCTTTCTGGCTCTGACTTTGTGTGAAGAATGACGTCATTATTGTGTTGAGGAAAGACCGGGTGATTCTAGGGTCAGAAGCCTGAATTCCGATTCCTGCTTTTAATGGTTGTGTGGCATTTGGCAAGTCATTTACCTTCTCTGAGCATAGTTCAACTTCTGAAAAAATGTCTCATGTGCATAACATTA